TTAAGGATCTATCTGCTTAAAGGTGTCAAATTATTGTACCTCCGCTCAATCCATTGGTGTTGGAATCCACGGTGCGAGAAGAGAGCCAAAGCCGCCAGACTTTGGCACTCACGACCATCATTGCTGGCACGGATGGGCCACTCTGGGGGGCTTCAGATTAGTCCCTGATGTTTTTTCATGCCGAAATGTGAGGCGTAGCTACTCGAACGTGAGCATCAAGGCGACCTCCTGGGAAGTTGGTTAAATCAACGACAAGTGCTTTTTCCATACGGTTCACTGACAAAACTAAGTCAGGCCAAAAGCAGCGATGAGCATTTAGAAGTGATGTGGACCAGACAATTTCAGAGTAAACGTTTGCCACATTACATTTATATTATTCTTGTTGCATAGTGCTCATTGTGCATATACTGTATATATAACTTTCCTGTTCATTTGTATGCCACACACAATGACCTCAAAGAAGTATGTTGTCGTCAGCATCAGCTTTGATTAAATCCACATTTTTATTTCTGTTCAATTGTAATTGTTGGCAGAGCTCTCACTCAATTTTCAATTAAATTCCCTATGCACCGTTTCATGCCTCTTCTGGCTCTTTATTGGTATGAGCGCCTCTGTTGATTCTCTACTTCTCATTCATTAGGTTCCTTTACTGCTGACCCTCCCAAACTGCGACTCGCTTGAGTGAAAGGCCCGGTGAGCTCAGGACCCAGGCATCCGGCAAAGACAGGAAACAGTGGAGGTGCACTCCAGTGTCACCAACACATCACAGGACGCTTTGAGGCAGTATTGGCTCTTGCCATACTGGTGCAGCACTAAGCAGAGCAAGGTCTGTTGGTTTTTCTGGCCAAGTTAAGCACGGAAATATTTCTTTCCTGTTAACTCAAGAGTCTGGCAGTCACCTGTGTAAGGTTGTCCTGGCACTTCACAATGAGCCACCCGCCGTCCAGTGAGGCGGTGTGCGGGCTAAGTGCTGATGGACCCTGACCAAATCCAAGGACCTCTGAAAGTGTACATATTCATTCACACTGCTTTATTGTGTCAGTAGTGCAGTAATGAGTGACACATTCCTGAATGTCTTGAGATGAGAACGCTGGGCTTAAACATGCAAGAGCTTTGTGTTATGCCATACAACGCCTGAAAGTCCTGATCAAATACCACCATAAGAAAACATTATGAATACAGAATAAAGTCATTTCACATTTTGGAGACGTTTTCTGGGTAGACCCACTTGTATTTTTTACTTTTTATCTGAAGCATGAAAGCCTTTTCCACAAAGCGCAACAGTATTCTTATTACACACTCTTCTGTCAAGTTTAGTTTATTTATTGGGATTTATTTTTTGCCCCCCTTTCACTACTGTGCTGTTACTTAAACCTGCCAATTCATGCTTTATTTCTGTTAAAGCAGAGAAAGAGTCCTAGATAACTGTAATGAAGTATCTATAACGTAAGATGTTCGTCATGCACAATACCACAATTCTTCTGTGAAATCCTAAATTTCGAAAAAGAAAACGACCCCAACTGACCCATCTATGAATTACATTTCTAGATGGGTCAGTTTCATCTATTTTTGCCAATATACAATAAAAGTACAAGAGAAACAAGAGAGGTAGAAATGACAAGTGACGTAATGGGAGGCAGGTCTCTACAGGGAGTCAGGGGTTTATTAGAGTATCATGATGTATTGTATTATTGGATAGTGCTGGATCAACAGGTCGGCCATCTTGTTTGGGACAGACACTAGACGTTGGTCAGTTAGAAAAGCTGTAGGAGCTTATAGAAGCAGAGGTTTCATAAAATAACAAAACAGACTGTCTGCAACAAGTTAATGTGCAGGTAACACAGAAGAAATTCTCAGAACTAAATAGAAACAACACTGAGCATGCATCTGTACATCCAAATGTTATTGGATTACCGTCCAAATGATGCCAGTATTGCATGTTTATGTGCGTGTGTGACTGATATACTTCCACTATAAAATGTATGTTTTTGCACCATATATTATTACTATTATCAAGATCAGATTTGCATTGTGCAGCAAGAAGTGTAGCTTACAATATTTATGTTATTATGAATTATTACATTCATATTGAGGGATTGTTTATTGACTACTATTTATCAAAAAAGTTACTGACACCTGTTGAAATCAGTAATAAATATTGTGATATTACAATTTTGCGTTAGAGTTAGGAAATGTTGTTATTGTAATAACAGTGCTCATCCTGCTCAACACTACAGTATTAAAAAAATCCCACTTTTCACTGATAATGCATGTAGAATGAAGTACATGAGTCTCCCATAATCTCTAAGTTACAACTAAATGATTCCAAAAGATAGAATTATTGTTGCTGCTGATATGTCATTCCTTTACTTAAAAAAGCCTGTAAACTTTTCCTACAGTGAATTCAAGATGTGCATGAGCATGTGCCTCAGTGGAGCCTCAATAGAAATACTTCATTTTACAGCCTGGATGTTAACATATAGTAATCGCTGCCCTAAGTTCAACAAGGACACAGTTAAGTGCGGCTTTGTATCCTGCAGCCAAACAAAACGGGAAAAGCCCAAATCATAGTAGTAATACAAATAGCATGGAGGACCATGATACAAACACGAAAGTGGCCAAATGGGCATTTACAACGGGCCAAGGAGGGAGTCTCATTTCTCCTCTTGACAGAAATGTCTACAACCAACTCTGTGTCCTTTTAGTGCCGTTTGGATTGTCAGCAGATGAAAATATACTGTGTGAGTACTGCTAAATGGTTGTGCAAGCGCCAGGACACACAAAGTGAGTTAAAACACCATTTCTGACTGCCCGCATCCTTCCCTCCACTTTGGATTGGAAAGCAGATTGGCCATCGGTTTAATTAATTTACTAGTGGACATATACCCTAGGGTAATACAAGTTTCATGTTTTTCTATAGCCTAATTTAAACAATTAAAATTGAAGTTGGACTTAATTTAAATCTGACATGACTGATTCCGATGTAGATTTTATATATTAAAAAGAACTGTGATTAATTCTTGCAGAGCTTATTTTGTAGTGTCAGTGCAATTGGATCAGACGTTCTTTGGGTGGTGAAAGTTGACTTTTCCTAACTTACTCATGTGGTTAACTCAAGTGGGATTTAGAAAATGTTATAAATCCAACACAAACAGAGCATGTTTTAAGTTTGCACTGTTCAGTCCATTGCATTGCTGGATTGTTTTTCTCCACAATCATTTTTCTCATAACACTGCTTACGTATGTTTATTACACAGTTATTCCTTTTTGCCATATCTACTTACCATGACCACAGCCTTTTTTACAATATTATGTTTGCATAAATTGTTTTGAGCCATGTTCCTGTATAAGTCCCATTTGTTCTATAGCTTAAGTATGTATTTTACAATCATCTGTCAAAACTGTTGTCAGTGCAACCACCTGGGCCACATCAGGTTTAGAAAGTACACGTTAAATGACTCATTCTGAAAATGTAAATGTTGACGATTAAACAGTGAGCTTTGATCATTTTTCAGAGGCCATGACTGTTATTCTTTAAGAGGCTCTCTCTATATTTCTTGGCCCGTGTCTTATTTTCTGTATAAATTACATACAAAGACTGCTTAAGAGGTGTTTCTCAAGGGCTAAACTTTTTATGCTTACACTCCATTGGCAGATCCACTATGGAAAAGTTGAACTAAGCTTCAAGTAGAGTGTTTAGTGTGGTTTGGGGCTTAGGTGAGGATCAATTGCCACATTTTGCAGCGGCATCCCAGAAACCCTCATAGGCTGTACTGAAGGACAGGTGGGCTGGCCCTATGCACCGCTGTCCCAAACAAGTGCCCCAAGCCCAAGAGCAGTGACAGTGCTCTGAGCCAGAAAAGACAGGTGCTAAGAGTGTCTAAGTTTGAATGGGGGCCAGTGTCCCTGCATGGTCTTACTAACACCAATTAATATGGTACAGTAATATACCCCACATTGAGCTTTGGTGTTTATTTACTAACAAATCTTAAAAGCATGATACTTTATAAGTAGTAAGGATTTTAGAATACATGGACTGTAAATATATAAACACATGCCATTTATGTAACAAATAATTAAATTGGTTGGTCAAATCCAACCTATGCTTAAACAAGGCCATTAATTAAAAACCCTATGCATAAAAAATATTTAAACGAAAAAACAACAAACTAAACTGTATGAAAGCTCTGAGCAAAACCAGCTGTCATAGACGAATGGTTGCTGAAGGCGTTGCTGCCATCTTCTGCCACTGCCTAAAAATCACACTACTTGGTTCGTAGTGCTGCAACAGAACCCAGAAAAACGTGCACTTTAATGGCAGAGGATACGTTTAAAAAATACAAAGCGCGAAAATGTTTTATTTTTTCTACGGCATCGCTGAAATGGCGGCTAAGCACTGCAGCTCATCCCTATCATTTAGTTCCCGTTTGAGTGAAAATTACTATCTCTGCAATCGCTCACATGTAGAAATGCACAATAAACGCGTTAATGTCAAAATGACCGAGTTGTATTTTTGAATGAGCCTGTGGTTTCTTTGTGGCGGTGTCCTGCGAGGCTTCCATTCATAGCAGCCAATCACGATGCTCGATGCTATGCTCTTCTGACCAATAGCGTGGCCTTTTGGTACCAGGCCTCGTTAGACCGCGGACAGACGACGACAAGTGGACCGGTTGGATGCTAAGCTAATTCAGTCAAATTATAACTGAGTATTTTCGATTATTTTAGTCACTTTTCTGCTCACGGACGCATGCACCCGATCCTGAAAATTCCGAGCCCTTTGTGTCTCTTGGAATTCTTCGGCTAACAAGCTAAATATTATTAGCTAAAGCGCTTTTGTGTTGCTAGCTAAGGCGGGGGTGAGCGCGAGCCTTGTTTGACAACAGCGCTTTTCGGTCACGTTAGTAGTGTTGTTGTTTGTAGCTGCAGAGTGAGCTAGTCAATTCCTGTTAGCTTTGAGCGGCAAAAAGAAAACAGTTCCGTGTAAACCGAGGAAGTTCATTATGGCAGAGTTTCTGGAAGATCCGTCGACTTTAACTAAAGAAAAGCTCAAGATCGAGCTCACGGCGAACAATGTGCCTCTTCCGAGCGGCGAGCATAAGAAAGAAGTGTATGTTCAGCTGTATTTGAAGAATTTAACCATTCTCAACAACAAGAAAAGTCCTCCTACAGACACTTTCTCCAGCGACGAGGAGCTTCCCGCACCCGTGGTCTCCAATAAAAGCCGCTCCGGGAGAGTAAGTGAATTTCATTGACTTTAATTAGTTTTGGACATATCTCGTGACTTCAAGAAAATCTCTGTATCGCCATAAATCACTTAATGACATAATCGGCTTTTCCTCTCAACTATGTGACATTGTTGTTCTACAGAAAGCCACAAAGAAGACTGACAAGCCCCGCACAGAAGAAGTGGAGGTGACAGATCTCACAGACGAAGATTTGAAACAGCAGCTGGCCAAGCATGGGGTAGAATCGGGACCTATTGTGGGTAAGTTTTACACTGCAAGGATTAAGACTTTGACTCTTGGCACGAGGGGCTTCATTCTTTTCAGCTGTCAGTATTTCGAGTGATGTATTGTTTCCCTAACCTTAAAGAGATTATATTCTGCTCGTTTTTCTGCTGTAATTTTATTAATGATACTTTTTGTTTGTCCTAAAAGCTTTTTTTAAGACTAAAATGTGTCTCTTAGTTTGATTCATTTGCATACATTTAATCCTCGGGCTATTCTCTAGTCAATTTGAGATAAAATTAGTGATAAAAAAAAGTACCCTAAATATTATTATTTCGAGCTGATTTTTGATGATTTGATGAGTCACTATTTGACACTTTGGGCTGAGAGCTGATTAGCTGATCACTTTTCTTTGGTAAAAAAAAAAAAAGTTGTTAAAATTGTTTTTGAGCTAGAAACTATTCAGATTGATTTTAGTACTTAGTTAAATGTATATATTTTAGTTTTGGTTTTTTCTTAAGTTTGGTATCTCTATCTTTTATTCTTGTCCCATATTTCAATCCATTCTTTGGTACTTACTCTGCTCTAAATGATTCTACCAATCTGAATATCACTGGTTTTATGATTTCAACTACATAACACCTGCATATAAACATCTGAATGAACAGTTACATTTTGTACTATTTATTTAGTTTTTTTAAGTTACTTTGTGTGACTACATTATATGGGAAATGTTAAGATATTTGTGAAATTAATACAATGTTCAAAATGTAATGCTACCTTTACTCATAGACTTTATTATTGTTTTTAAATCAATGTACTGAATCTTCATTTTCTTTTCTGTAGCCTCCACTCGTAAAGTGTATGAGAAGAAGTTGCTGAAGGTTTTGGAGCAGCCGCCGCCTGAGACCCCGCCAGAGGTCACTACCCTTCCAAAGGTTGACAGCAACCAAAACGGCAACACAAACTCCGACCAGTACAGCGATAAGGAGGACGGTGAGTCGTGCCCAAATGCACTGCCACATCAGCACCACATCCAGCAGTCGGTGGTACGATGTCAGTTTGTCTTTAAGGTAATCACAGGGCTTCAAGATAATTAGAGAAGACACTACACATACCACAGTGTGAACTTTTTAACACACTAAGCTTCCGACCAGTGCGTATACTTGCAGAGTTTTTCATTGAACTTAAAGCATTTAATAAATCATCAAAAACACCCCACATTCATATCTATACTTATTTCTATGATATTGTTCCATGATCATTGTGTCATTAAAACACTAATGATAGGTGGTGTTTTCACTCATTAGAAGTTCTTGCTGCCCCTGAACCAGAGCCAGTTCCTATTGTTGAAAAACCTGTGCGCAGCAGAGGAAAAACCCCCACCACAGTCCGCACCAGCAGCAGACGGCAGGCGAAAGTAAGTTACAACAGAAACTGGGAAACTCAAAATGATAGATTTCATTAAACTCTTTAACATGTTTACTAACTCAACATCTTGTTCTGGTAGATTGTGGAAGAAATTACAGTTACGGAGGAAACACCGAAGAAAAAGTCTCCAGAGAATGCAGTCGAAGATATCCTTGCAAATGAAATAAGTTCACCAACTGGAATGAGGTAGCAATAGTTTTTTATTATTTACTAATGTGTGAAAACTCATAGGTCATTGGAGTATGTATTTGACCTATTTGAGGTTTACCATCTTACAACAGTTAAGACACTAATCTGCTGTTTTAAATGTAGGGGAAATGTGAAATCTTCTCTTTTGAATTATGTGAATGTAGATTTATTTTATTTATTTTTATTTCTATGACAAGATTGATGGATTATTGAATGTATTTTTACAGTGCAACTTGCCGGCGTCCGATTCGTGGTGCAGCTGGTCGGCCTCTGAAGCCCAGTGAGTACTGGCTGGACGAGTCCCGTGTTCAGACCACAGTCTTGTCTGAGAGCCGCACAGAATGTCTCAAAGCCAACACTGTTTCAGCTGCAGCGCCCGCGTCCCAGGGCTGTCTGTCCACCCTCCTCAAGCTCCTCCTGCTCATTGCCATAGTCGTTGGCCTCTACTATGCTTACCAGAACCTGGACGCAAGTCACATCGAGGCAGTCAAAGGTCTTTTAGACAGCGTCCTAGTCCCTCTGCAGGGGGCGGTGGAAAGCACTGCCACATACCTGGGCATCGGTGCCGGAGATGCCCCAGCCGTGGTGGCGCCCAATGCGGAGTGAAGACAACCGTTCACTCGTGTCCCTCCATCTTTTAGCAACAGCACATCAAAACCCAAACAAAAAACTCTTAACTTACTTCTTTTCTTACTCTTACATCATGGTTGGACAAAAGACAGATCTATGAACTCTCTTCTCTCAGTTCAGTCTCTCCAGACCTTTGGAGGAACACAGCAGTAGCTTCTGGGTAACCCCATCTGAAGTGACTGATTTCATGTTGTTTTTAACCTGTGAAATTGTTTGTCTTTGTGAGCATTTAATCTGTGTATGTAGAAATGTGGGCTAATTTAAGAAGGCCACTCTATCCATGCATGATAGTATTTTTGGAAGTCATACTGTAGTTTTTTCATACTTGTGCCAGCTGTGTATTGAGGAGGTAATGTGCCTGGGTGAATTCAAGCACGTGGCACAGCTTCTACTAACGCCATCATAACTTCAAGCGTTTTTGTGCAAATTTCACCATTTGCTCTGTAGGTAGTAACCAATTTCTATGGTGCTCAGGTAAAATCTCTTAATCTGCTCTGTGGAGGAGGAGAGGTGCCGCCACATGAAGAAAGTCGGACAACAGTTTCAGTCATCGTCTTTTTGTTCATTATTTGTATTCCGGTCACGCTTTTATTGTATTTAATCACCACTTTTTCAAATAATGATTTTAAGATAGAATATGCACTGTACTTTTATTATACCGATTTTTGACAGCAGGACCGGTCGAGCTAAAGGCAACATTTCTTTCCAAAGTGAATTTACGAATTATTTGACAATTCCTTGCTGGGAAACATTTGATTCTGACCATGTGTTTTTTTTCTCAGTCTTGCCATAGTAACCATCTGAGTTTACATGCTTTGGGTTTTTGTGCTTTGTTGTGCTTTTTCATCATGACTTTGTTTTTTTTTTTATTATAATTATGTTTCTAATCCTTCAGTCCTGCGTGTCCTCAGCAGGATTGGCGACTCAATGCACCCACATAGCCCACTAAACTGACTGAACTGAGGGTTCATGCGACACATCTGCTAAGGATAATGTTTTAGTAGACACAAATGTGAATTCACTGAATGTGGAACTGGGGTGGGACAACTTTATTTTGATATTTTTCTAAAGGTGAGTGTAAAACTTTTTATAGCACATTTTTGGGGTACCATGTGATCGCAATATGCAATAAACAGATTTGACACAATTTCATGCCAGGCAGCTCCCAGAAAAATGGAAAGGTTACGTGGGTTATGTGGGTAAGGATTTGTGATCTGTTTATTTATGATGATGTAGGCTGTGTATCATGAAATAAACTCATCCCCACATGTACCTGTATTTTATTTCTTGTATATGAAATGTTGAATTAAATGTAATTTTCTTAAAATGTGTTTGTTTTTATAATGCAAGCCCAGACTTCTACCAGATCCTATTGGAATGGACTCTAGTCTAGTCTTTTTCCCTGCAGCAAATGTTCGGCGTTTTTTCTGCTTTTGTTAGACTTACTTTAAAATTGCCTTTTTAGACTTGCAGAGATACAGACAAAAGTAATAGCTAGTAACCACTACTAAGTTTGTGTCAAAATGTATGGCTACAGAGCTCAAATACTTTCTGCTTAAGAGGTATGCATTAAGTACAGATCTAAATAGCTAATTAAATATTAAAATAGATGTTAATTACTGCCCTAATTTGCAGGCCTTCGTATTCAGGACTTTTTTTTGACCTTTATGTCTACTAATCTCTTTTATTGTTCTCAGTAAAATACTACGACAGTGCAGTGTAGAGGATGGAGCAGCTTAATCAATTAAATCCAACATTCACCGGCCAGCAGGGACAGGACCAGACACCAGACCAGGCTCAAGACTGAAGAGGTGAGTGACCTTTTATCATTTGGATGAAAGTAGTCCGCAATAGCAGTTCTGGAAGTTGGCTTCTGAGAGTAGCCGTCATATAAACAACGGGTGTTCATTTTCTTGTAAACTACAACTACAACTTGCCAACATCGCTGCTCCGCATACCTCTGAAGATGTCAATCATGTTCTATTGAGTCACCCCAAGCCTTCTCTATCATTTGCACATAGTTTAAAATCCTGAAATTCCTCTCTGTTGTGCAGGACATGACCTGTTATTAGCTGCTTGGTGCAGAGTTATGAGGTAAATAGTTTTGAGTTTGACTGAAAAATGCAGATAGTAGTACAGAAAATTAGCCCATAGGAACATTTATTCATGCAACGGCAACTAAAGTGTGTGTGTGTGTATGAATAATAATAATAAAATTCAGTAACTATCACATTTTCAGACTTCTTCTGACCATCCAACAAAACACTAATTCTGTAAATGAATCCTAAATGTATTCAAATTTGTTTTTTAATCATTTTATTGCGTTCAAGTTGAAGTGTAACAAAGCAGATGGAGACAGTGTTATTAGAAGATTACTGTAACTGTTTAGCTGTCTGAAGTCAGGACAGTCCTTACTCGACAGGTATCCGATTAAACCCCTCTATCCCCTGTTTGGGATAGGAGAGGAGAGGGGAGGGGAGGGGTGCTGCCACAGTCACACGAGCAAAGAGCAAGCAGCTGACTGGATACTACTAGCAGAGCTCAAAGTGGGTGCATAGGGGGGTCTGCAGTTGATGCCTGTGTGGCGAACCTCTCCCAGTGCCATGCTGATCATATGGTGGCACATATACCTCACTGCCAGGAGCCTCGTCGAGCGAAGCAAGTATCCCCAAGCTGTTTTTGTTTCTGTGTTTTGTTTCAAGGTGATGTCTGCAGATGAAGGACATGTAACCATCCCTATTCCTTTTAATCATTAAAATATCTCATTTTACTTGCTCTTAGTATTCATGCTTTTTTGTGAAATGTGGAGAGACTTGTATGCTATTTTTAAAGAATATTTTAGTGTAGATACCAAGTCTCTCTTTTTAACTGCAAAAAATAATAAAGTCACCTTGAACCTTACGTTGTCAGTGTCTGTACTGTCTTGTTCCTGCGTTCTTTTGGCCCTAACCTGTGTTGTCCCCCCATATTTAAGTCATCACTCCTGTTTACAGCCAACTAATGTCCTCCACAAAACAAATTCAGTCCACAATTCTTTCAATATGTCCCCCACTCTGCTTAACATGAGGATTTGGCGTAATATTTTTTACATTTACTGTTTTTTAATGCCTCAGATTGCATACAAACTTACTTTGTTTTTCTAACTTTCCATTCCATTCTTCTGTCCAGTAAAAATGTCTGCAACGCTCCAGAAGCTCATCACCCCATTGTTCAAGGGTCTTCCAGAGCCCCCGAGAAACAAGGTGACGGTGGTGGGAGTGGGGCAGGTGGGCATGGCCTGCGCCGTCAGCATCCTGCTCCGAGTAAGTTGTTCCTGTTTGGGTAGAAGTGTGATTTTGTTCTCATCTTTGTCAATGGATTGGGGTTGGTTCAAACTGGTATCGTCCTATTTTAGAATCAAAGTCTCCCAGAACGCATGTAATCTGAATTAGATCAGATAAACGTTATTGATCTCACAATGGAGTTATTTAAATGTTGAATAAAGGATATCTTAATTTCACATTTGGCATAGATAGAATCACTCAGGCTGTGCAAAAAGACAGGAAGTGTGCAAACATTTAAAATATGGTCTAAGATATATTATGTACAATAAAATCAAGCTCCTACTGATCAAGAAGTCAAAGTTCCAGCAAAGTGAGCAAAGGCACACTCATAGATATTTTACAGTTAACAAAGTGTATTATATTTGGTTTTTAAATTCAAAATCCAGTACAATTCTGCTGCTGCTCTGAAAACGTGATCAGACCGAAGTGAATCATTCAGCAGATTATTCCCTGTGGCGTCTGAGCTGCTCTTAACTCTTCACTGCCCTTGAACCTTTGGACGCCCGCAGCAAATGTAGTTTCACTCTGCCCTAATGACAAGCGACGGTCCCACATCCTCAGTCAGTGGGAAAAATGTTGTCTGAAACTTACGGTAATAAGGGGAATAAGTCTATAATGGAGCTAGACAGTTTGATACCATGTTGAGACTTTTGTACATTTCAACACATATGTCTGTATTATTTAATTATTTTTTATTATTTTATGTATTTATGTGGAAGAACAATCTAATTCTATCAAGAGCCTCGTTTGACCAACCTGACAATCTCCTACTGCTTCAGCTGATCCACTAAATGAAGGATTAGCTTAATGTTTTCTAACAGTGCTCAGCCTGGGGGTTCGGCCCTCACCTCAAGTCTGTGTAAAAGTTCATCCGTGTATTACTCATACTCACTCCAAATACACATAAAGGCAAGGCAAGTTTGTTTGTTGTATAGTGCAGTTCACACACAAGGCAACTCGGTGATTAATAATCACAGTACGTTAAGATAAAATCCCTCGGTTGTATGCACGGCTAAACAGAACTTACCTGGCTTTGAACATAGCCAGAGAAACACATGTAGATGACAAAATAAATATTACTTTATCGTGTTAATTTGGTTTGTGTAAGCTTTCAGTCGTACAGTAATTATTCAAAACAAAGGAAGGTTGCTCAACTATCATCTGGTTTTCCGACATTACGTTCTCAATCCAAAGAACTTTCTCATGGAAATAAACAATACAATACAATACAATACAATTTATTCTTGTATAGCCCTAGGTCACAACAGAAGTCATCTCAGAGGACTTAACAAAACCATTGACTTAACAAAACTCAGCCGTGATGTTAATTTTGTGTTAACGCTCTGATAATTTCCTCACTTTATCTACTTGTAGCTTGGAACAGAAATCTACCTTATTGGGGCATCTCTCTATCACTTGGTTTTTTGGCACTTTTACCATCAAACTGTATCTCAACCATTCTGTAGAGGCCTATAATAAAAAGGGTTAAAAAAATAAAGAAAGAAGGTTATTATTTTTGTTATTAGAGCTGCTACATCATCAGGATTCAATTCCATTCAATTCATTTTTTTCTTGTATAGCCCTAAAATCACAACAGTAGTTACATCTCTGAGGACTTTAGACAACCTTTGAATCTGCTAACACGGATCAGAGAATAAAACAGATCAAACCCAAGAAATAGAACAGAAAACACATTGGTATCGTTCCATAAGGGGTAGATGACCAATGTCCAAAAGTGTTGATGATTAAGGAGTTAAAATTAAAGGGTAAATGTTGTGCAGGAGCTGGCAGATGAGCTGGCCTTGGTAGACGTGCTGGAGGACAAACTGAAGGGGGAGATGATGGACCTGCAGCATGGCAGTCTGTTCCTCAAGACCCCCACCATCATCGCAGACAAAGGCAAGTCTCATCATCATCATCATCATTATAACTGAACTGAACTGAACAAAGAACTATCATTTACCGGATTAGTCATTCAAGTCGGCCCCTTGTTCCACAGATTATTCAGTGACTGCAAACTCTCGCGTGGTGGTGGTGACGGCCGGAGCGCGCCAACAGGAGGGAGAGAGTCGCCTGAACCTGGTCCAAAGAAACGTGAACATCTTCAAACACATCATTCCTCAAATCGTCCGATACAGCCCTGAATGCATCATACTCGTGGTGTCCAATCCAGGTACCCCCAATGCAAACTTTTGTAATGTGAGGGTTTGTGGGGGCGGCAATCTAGCGAGGACTCCTTTTTCTGAAATATTTACCGTAATTTTCGGACTACAAATCTTTTTTCTTGTTCTTTGATCCTGCGGCTTATATAGCGATGAGGCTAATATACAGTATCCATATTTTTAGTTGGCCTGTTGTCAGTTAATAGCTACTGGACACTAGTTTATTGTCAAAACAAGGCTAACGGTTAAGCTAACACCTCATCATTAAATCATGTTGTGAAAAGTTAAAACAATCTGCTACATTACAACATTAAAAACTTGAAACCACGCTTATATTCATGTGCGGCTTATATGTCACTATATTTTCCTATGTAGGTGGTGTGGCTTATATACAGGTGCGCCCGATAGTCCAGAAAATACGGTACTTCACCTCTTTTGTGACACATTCCTTCAACAAAACGAAACAAATTAAATTAGTTTTGAACAACAGATGTTTTTTGGAGTGCATCGGGACATGTCGCTGTGATTCTACGTGTAGTGTTTTTTCCGCAGTGGATGTGTTGACATATGTAACGTGGAAACTCAGTGGTCTCCCCATGCATCGAGTCATCGGCAGCGGGACGAATTTGGACTCTGCTCGGTTTCGTTATTTGATGGCAGACAAACTGGGGATTCACACAAGCAGCTTCAACGGCTGGATCCTGGGAGAACATGGAGACACCAGTGGTAATTGTCTTCTTTTCATTGATAGTGATCTGACATTATTACTGCTTTAAAGTAGGAATTTGTAAGATTTTCATTTCAAGTCATCATTAAATGGCCCTAATCTCTCACAAGACATTAACAAAACATGCTCTTTTCAAATACTTATTTAACCAATAACAGTAGTTCAGCTGAGATATTTGGATTTCAGAATTAGTTTTACAGCGCCTAAATCTTGTTATTGTTTTCATATCGATGTCCCGCCCTCCACCGTTTTACCAATCAGAAAGTCGTGATTCGGGCGCCAGAAGTCGAGCTAATCTCACTTGTAAAGTAAAATGTGGCCGCAGAACTTAAAAACGTCTTGTTATGATTCTGAAATCCTTAATGAAAAAACAAGGAATAAAACAAGGATTTCTATCTTTGTGAAAAAGGTGTTGGTTATAGATTTGTTGTTGTTTTATTCAGATTTTATGGTCCAGGTTGCAGTACCACTTTTGGCCAGATTTGTACATACTGCTCCTTTAATATAACAGTTGTTGATAATCAGCTGTTCTGAAACGGAGAAAAAAAACAATCTTTGAGCCTAATTTATCTTATTCACCTGACAATAAGAGTTAGAATTATTAAGACAATATAGTATATAAAATAGCCTGAGACCAATAAGGACCAACAACAGGATTTTACATGATTGTAAACAATAATAAAGTCTATTGTTTATTTGTTTATTGTGCCTTACTAGTGCCAGTTTGGAGTGGGGCAAACGTGGCTGGGGTCAGTCTGCAGACACTGAACCCACATATCGGCAGTGAAGAGGACGAGGAGAACTGGAAAGAGACTCACAAGATGGTGGTCGACAGGTGAACCAGAGTCTTTATGCCTTTTATCAGCGCCCTGTGTGTACACACTGAGTTGTATTAAAGCTGTGTCCGTGTCTTTCAGCGCTTACGAAGTCATCAAACTGAAGGGATACACAAACTGGGCCATCGGTCTGAGCGTCGCTGACCTTATTGAAAGTATAATGAGGAACATGAACCGGATTCATCCAGTTTCCACCATGGTCCAGGTACATTACTGCTCACTACAGAGTTTATGCTATGATTTACATTCATTTTAACTTTGCTTGAACCTCACCTTAAGTGTGAATAAACAATGGAATTCAGTTTTAGAAAATGTATTTATTTTGTAGGTTGCAGCATGTTAAAAGAAAGAGCTCTGTGATGCTTTGGGCTGGAAAAAATATGATTGGCTGAGTGAGGGTAGTCCTCGCTTTTTCGCTTTTATGTCTGAAAGAGCTGATCTATAGATGTGACAGGAGGGAAAAACACATTAGACAAGGCAAGTTTATTTGTATAGCACAATTCATAGGCAACTCAAAGTGCTGAACAAAACAAGAGAAATAATCCCACAAGGCATTAAAATAATAGATAATCACATTAGCACATTAAAAACAGTAAAGAAAAAACCCCCAGTTTTATGCACAGCTAAACAAACCTTTATAACCTGGATTCAAACATTGTCAGAGAAGAAGCCTCTTTTTTGTGGCACTTAAAATTCCAAACCTTTGTTCAGATCTTTCATTACGCACTTCCTTCCTGTTTTCCCTGTACATTTGCCTGACCCTGCCCTGCTCTGCTTTGCATTGACTGCTGACTTTGCGTCCCAGGGCATGTATGGCATCAGTGAGGAGGTGTACCTCAGCCTGCCCTGTGTGCTGAGCGCCGTGGGCGTGTCCAGTGTGGTCAACATGACTCTGACCCAAGAGGAGGCGGGGCAGCTGCAGGACAGTGCAGGCACTCTGTGGGACATCCAGAAGGAGCTGAAGGACCTCTGAGCGGACACTAGGGGGCGCCACTGTCAAACTGCCGTCTGTCTATATAAAGTACTCTTCAAATTACATTTTAGAGCTTTAATCACCACAACTTGTTATTCCGTCCTTTACAGTCTATGGTCCTGCCACATTCGCATCCAGATATAATGATTGTGTGTAGCTTAAAACAGTTTACCAAATGAAACATAAATCCCACTTGATACGCTGTAAATATTGTGTTTTGTACCATTACACAAAGCTATATCAATATTTATTATTTTATTTCATATAAGTTTATTCATCATTATGAAGTATTTGTCTGATAGTGTCGCATTGTTGTTCATAATTCCCCATTGAATTTTAAACCATTTGTGCACAATTCTTTTTGGATAATAAATATAAGAATAAATCACTTATACTGTTCAATGTCTTTAATGAAGAATTCACAAGACGAACAAACAGGGAAATCCTTTTTCGTATCATTTTATTCATTTTTCATCATCATCATCATCCATCATATTCTTTCATATTTGTCAGAACCTTCTGAGATGGTTTTTTTGTGTTTTGTTTTGTCGCCCTGACTTTGACCCAGCGCTCGTCCACTGAGGTGATGACGCCTGATGCTTAACATGCGACATCACCAGAGCGTGTGAGCAGCTCATTAATGCCTCGTCCACTGTCATCTCTAAAGACGTCACATATTTGAAGCCGCTGGGAACATGGAGACACTCATTCTCAATGTACATTTTGATTACACGGAAAGATTTTGTATCGAAAGAAAATGTTTATTCTTCGTATTTGTAATAAACGCCTTAATTTAACTGAACTGGTCACCAATCTTACTGGTCTCAGGTCCTATCTATCCACAAACGAAGCAGAGAAAAGTGGATTATGATTTAAAGTAAGTAATTAGGTAAGTAATCTTTTTTTATATAGCACATTTTTACAGACCAAGGTCAGCAACAGCGCTTTACAATGTTCAGAGTTCAGATATTTAAATAAAAATACTATGACACTGCTTAATTATAAAGAAGAATCACAAAAACGAATCCTCAATAAATACATGATTTAATAAATTCATGTATCAGCTCCAGTAATGAGAATTGTTACTGAAGTCGGTCTCGCCCTGTCTATCCCACTGCACAATCACATGACATAATAAGAGATGAAAGAAAATATATTTGGATTTAACCACACTTCTTCTTTTCCCCCATGTTGAAACTGTTGTATTTGTTTTACAGCATCTTCCTCTTTCATTCTCAGCAGGAGTTTAAATATTCTGGGAGAAAGGCTCAGTTCTTCATCACTGCTTTTTCTGTACATCACTGCAAAAAGAGATGAGTATGGATAAAATGCAATGTAGTGTATCCATGGAAACCCTTTTGTATCTTAAGTAAATATTGATACATCTAGAATCTATACAAAAGTAGTGAAATAATGTGATGGGGACTCACGGTCTGATCCAGCGGCTGCATTATTGCTCCTTCGCTCCACGACTGATCGATGTCCATCTAAAGACACATGGTATTCATATCTATTGTTCATTATTGCTGATTGATACGAGTTTTGTGAAGACTTACGTGCTCCTTTTAGGTATAACATGGCCTGAGGAGTCCAGTTCCTCCGCTGGGAAAAGGAAAAATGACATTGCAGTTCACAGAATAAATATACAATGTAATAAAATGCACCTAACTTACATTTGGGGCAGTCCAGCATTGGCAAACCAGGGACAGGACAAGTACCAGAAACAGAGCCATCTTGGTCGGTATAATAACTATTTCATTAAAAAAGAGAAAAAAATAGCATTCAATTGATCTGTTGTCCAATAAATATTACTGTCAAAAATCACCAAGAATTGAATTTATAATCCATTTTCTTTTTTCCATTTCTAAATATTGCAGCACACAAAACAAAAGAAAAATAAATTTTAAAAAAATTGATAAAATATTTTAATTTATATGGTTGTTTATTTTCCCTTACCTGTTGTCGTTGGTGCGGTGTTTTGTCGGTGCAGAATGAGTCTTATAAAGTGCTAAGGACGGTGCTGACAGGTATTTTACGTCATACATTCACATATTATCCACAGGGTGTTAAAATCCCGTCACGTCTAATGTGTTACAGCGGCAGACATTTTACAGTCAATGGCAGACACCTTCACGAAACATCACTCACCAAATCGTTTTACTGTTGGGAATATTTTGATTTTGAATGAAGCCTCTGCAGTTAAAAGTTAGTATATTTAAACATGAAATAATTCTCATCACTTCAGGTTTGATTATTACTAGTGAATAAGTGTCTTGCCCGTGGACACCTCATTATGCACTGTTTGGAGCTGGGATTGAACCATAAAAATTTTTGCATTTATTTTGTGAGGGACACTACAACAACATAATAGCATTCGATTATGGAACACTCAGAAATGTTAAAATCTCTTCCATTTAAAAAAAAAAAAAAAAAAAAAAAACATGAAGAAAGCGAAAATATTTGTATACAGTACGTTTGTTTTGGAATAGGACCACACAAAAAAAACGTATTTGATGCCACATTGATGTCAGGTGATGTTGGGGGTGAAAATGTTATAATCTTTGCAACAAGAAAAACAAGGATTTTTCTGATTTTTGTCTTTCTGTTCCCGTTTGTTCAAGCTGTACGTATGTAGACATTATTTACTATTATGATGCCTGTGATATAATGACATGGACAAAAAAACAAAAACTATATAGCATGTGTTTGCTTGAATGTTTGCATTGGAGATCATATTGGGAACACATTAGTAAAAAGTTCACACACTTTATTCCAAGTATGTATTTACAAAAGTACAGTAAAATGTTCAACTTGACCTTCTGTGGTTTTATACACAAGCAACATTAAGCATTTTTTTTTTTTTTATCTTTTACACAATTTTAGTAACAACAGAGCGGTAAAACGGTCCATTGGAGAGTGTGCATCGTAACAGCGCCCCCTCTGGTCCATAGGCAGCAGACTTAAATAACAAGCTGGAATGATACAAAACAAAAGCCCGACTCCAGTCTTTCAGAATCATCCAGTGGCAACGCGTAGAACTCCACTATCCACAGAGGAAGTCAAAACACTCATTGTCTCTGAATACACATTTTTCAGAATCTTCGGTGCTGTTTTTGGGCGAGTGGCAATGACCGAAGTGTAGGTCCCTGTTTGATCAAATCTTCGCAAAAACACAGCTGATGTTATACCATGGCATTGCTCTCTCCGATTTTGTCGACGAGCTGCAAAAAGAAACATGTAAAATGAGTTTAGGGAGGTAACTGTAAGAAGCGAATAGATTATTGAACAATTCATAGATTTAAAAACAGGCTGTGAAGATGTTTGTCTTCGAGGGGCATCATTTTAGCTTTTCTTTGGTTAAATCTTCAATCAGTCGGAAAACTAATTGATGATCAAAGTAGTACATAATAACAACCCCAAGTAAGACTCAAAACTGTGACTGAGCATGAGATGAGGTGAGCAAGTCAAAATGGATAATATTGCAATGTTCTTTTTCTTTTGGAGCTGTGTGAAATGTTAATATGTATGAAGTGAGCACAAATAGTGGTCTAATAAAGTCACTACAATCACACTTTTGTTCCAGAATCTTCTTCCTGTGACACGTGTAGCCCCTTGTTTGCAGATGCAATCCACCTGCTGGTGTTTGGCTAGACACAGTACAAACTCTTTTGTTGTTGTGGTGACTATTAATTTTTGGGGGGGGGGTACTTATTTTTTCTTGTTAACATGTGTCGCATTTCATTTACGTTGCCATTCTGCTCTATTTTTATTTATTTTTTTAAATGAAGAACAAACTCAAATATGATTTGTGCATGTGTCGTGTTATTTGGGGACACATACAAAATATGTAGATTTAAATTTTGAATGATAATATGATTAACTGTCCCTTTAATTTTGTTCTAAATGCAAATATTGAACCTCAACCAAGACATTGATTTTGCGAGCTTTTACCCCTTCATGCTTTTTGATCTTATGTACTTTTGGTTTGTTATTGTATTTGAATCTGTAGCACTGTGAGGATTCCTGAAAATGTAAATTACAATATAAATAACATTATTATTGAGAAGCATCATGTTTTTGCACAAATGTTATGCCTCGCCACGTTATCATCTGAATGTCATATACTGAAATCTTAATTACAGTAGTTGCTGGACTCGGCGCAGCTGTACATAAACCGCAACTCAAAAAAAATCAAGTCAATGTGTCCAAATATAGGCTGCACTTTTTATCTCTGCTCTGACAATAGTTCTAATCACATACAAACAACCTGTGTAGCAGGAAAGTGTCATTAGCCTGGGAGATCAACGGCTGATATAGTCGTAACTCTTCTTACGTAGCGGCTTCCATTTAAATAAATTATGATTGGCAATTGCAGTGGTCTGTGGTAAGTGAGGTTCATTTACCAAACAAATCTGGGTAACACTTTAGATTAGCCCTCACTAATAAAATGCTAATTAGTGTACCCTAACCCTTACCCAATCCCTGGCCCTAAACCACATGGGGAAAGTGCAAGTTAGTTCGATGTTGAATAAGGCCATGTAGAATAAGTACTAATGAGTGCTTAATAAATACCAATTAACCATAAAGTTACACTAATTTGCACTAAGTATTGGTTACTAGTCATTTCACTACATATTATTGACCATGTTGTTAACCTTGTGTGTGACAAATCTAAATCGCGAGGGCTAAACTAAAGTGTGATCCAAATCTGTGTCAGGGCTTGACTTTCTACTACAACTTGCTACTATAACCCTCTATGTTTGGACATATTGTTGTAGGAGAGAAATTTATGAATACCCTTTTTTGTTCAACACTTGGTACTTACAGAGCGTATTCCGGGTAAACTAAGCAAAGATCCAAGGACAGGAATACGCCTGATAAAGCCGACAGCCACAGGGAAGAACCCCCTATAGGTGACATAGAAAAAGGTAAAAATAGACACTTGTTTTTATGGCTGATTGTTATTGTGGTTTAACTGACCTAAACAGAAGGAAGAACCCGTATATCTCCAGCACTACTCCTATAATGGGCCACCCGATCAGCACCACGAACACTCCTCCCAGGAAGAAACTGGTGGCTTTAGCTTTGTGTCTCTGGAAAAAGAATCTGAACGTCCTTTCCAGTCCAATGACAAAGGAAAGACCGGACACAAACAGGATCTGCAAATGGAGAAGAAAGTGAACAACGTTATTGTTCAATTTAAAAAAACAAACAAACAAATGACTACAATGGCCGAGTAGTCGACTTACATTCCCGATGGCTAGAAGAGCTTTATCGAAAAACAGCATCATCCCAAAGAAGAGGAAGAACACCCCAAAACCTGTCAGCCCCATCCCAATTTCTGAGGACAAAGATAGAACAGTCTTTTACATAATGTGTATACACTAGTAGTGAATTTGTAATGGGAAAAAGCAAAACAGTACTACAGTTTTTCAGAATGTGAAAAAGACAACAGGTGGAGCCCTGAAACTAGTGCAATAAACTACTCAATGTCATTGGTGCAATAAACCCGGAGAATCCCACTAAAAAACTTTTTTCAATTGTGCCATTTCAGAAAAACGTATGTGCTATGGAAATAAATATCAGAGCAGAATGAAGCACTCTTTAGTCATATTGAACCCTCTCCAGCTAAAAATCTCATCCTTATAGCATAATATATAATATATATTAAATAGCATAAATATAATAGCAAAAATGTCTCCACTTTTGCGAATAATCTGAACCAATGATCAATACTGAGGCCCAAATTATATATCTTTATCAATTATTTATTACAAAGAGTGGATTTATAGCAACTAACCTGCCTAGCCTAGATATTAGGACTACTACGGTCAATAATAGGAATAAATTAAGAAGAAAAACCTTAGTGGGAATAGTGTATAGAAAGTGTCCTTGATTCTGCTAGTTTGACACCTAAAGAATTAACCTTTCATTTATAGTGTACTTGTATAGTACTTTTATGGTGCTGGGCCTGTAAAAAACACAGCAAAGGGTAATAATAGCAAATTTAATCAAGCATATGGAACTGATTTACTAAGCGGTCCATGAGGAATCAGGATGACAGCTTAAAAGTTACATCACACGTGGGCTAAAAGACCTCAAATCAATAACAATAATAACATCAAATAGTAAATAAAGTAATGCTGCTAGATTTTAAAGTGACGCTGAACTAAGTGACGTTGAAGTTGTCCAGCCAATTGTAATGAAGCTAAAGAGCCCATACATTCAGCTTTACGAGAAGCTAAAGACAAAAGAACCGCGACACAGAGAGAGATGCTCTTACTTTGCGAGTCTGTGAGCGAGATCATGTCTGCGGTAGAACGGGACAATAATGTGGACTGAAACCAGTCCCGTGTAAACCATACACCGTTATCACAATCACGACACGGGAGAAACTGTTGATGCTGTGGAGCTAGCGGTGTGTTGGCTAGCCACGTCTCCAAGCCACGTCCTGTTGCAAAGATTGTGTAGTGCGAATAGGCGTCTCACTCTGCACACGGTTGGAGTAGCAGTGTTTGAACTGTGTATGGCTCGAACAAACTATCCATCTGAATTGTGTAAAAAATATTAAATCTACTAATTTTCTTGACCTTCAAAAAATGTTTACAACGTGTTAAATTTTACTCTGAACTTGGATGAATCCTATGAAATAAAAAATATGATTATCATGGATTAAGGATGGAGGTTTTACTGAATAAAATAAAATCTGAAATAAAAATAGTTTCATTCTAATATTATTATCATGATAGGGCGCAAGGCACGTTACATTTTAGAAAAATACAGCAGCTGATGAACAGCTGATGAACTTGGACAGAGTGAGGAGTCTTCTTTTTGCAGTTTCTGTTTCACTACAACTCCCATAAGCATCGGTGCACTGGTGGTTAGTGGATCCATGGGTCTCCCGTTCAGTCGTATAGTGGCGCTAGTTTACTCGTTATCTGCAAACATAGGATAAACTTCAGTTGATGGACACATATGCAATGAACAACACTCCATTAATTACAGTGGAACTTTATTTCATCGAGTAATCTCCTCGGCTGACCGACATGGGGACGGCTTTCGCAATCGCTTTAGTATTTTTTGGATGTTGTAGTAATGTGGTGTTTCTGGAGCTGCTCGTAAGGTCAGTGACTAACTTAGATCATTGGTATTTTCCCATATGGCTTCTAAATATCCATTACCAGTTCTGGCCTAAATGTTCCTGCATTGTTTACTGTGATTGACTGTAATGTTATTCTATACAGACCACTGTAACTAACGGGAGTGCACCCTGAGCTAACTACTGTAGTAACCTGCATTCATGATGCCTTTTCTGAGCTTTATTGTACTTGTATGTGTTTTTTCAGTTTACGAAGATTGTATCAGACCTGATTGATAACTGGTTACACGTTTTTATTTTTCAGAGATTTTCCAGGATGTGGCAATATTGTCACTTTTGCACAGTTTTTGTTCATTGCCCTGGAAGGGTTCATTTTTGAAAGTAAGTTTGGTACAAAAAAAACGGCCATCCCAATAAGGTAATCTTATATATTGCATGCATCTTTAGCCAAGTGTACATATAACAGTGTATAAACCACACTATTTATTTTCTCAGAAACTATATTATCATGGTGACGATGTTCTTCTTTGTGAGTGTGGTGAATAACTATGCACTGAACTTCAATATTGCCATGCCGCTGCACATGATCTTTAGATCTGTGAGTTTCACCACATTTATCTTTATTATCATTATCTTACTATTATCATCATATTCTGAAGTTGACCTACTTCCTCTGCGTGCAGGGCTCACTTATAGCCAATATGATCCTGGGTATAATTATACTGAATAAAAGGTGAACATCTGTTAACTTTTCCTTTTCTTATAAGGGGAAGTGTTAATAAAAAATATGCATTCTTGTTATTTTCAGGTACAGTGCCAGTAAATGTATATCTATAGCACTAGTATCCATCGGCATTTTCATATGCACAATTATGTCAGCCAAACAAGTGGTGAGTATTTTCTTATCAAACGTCATGCATTTATAGTGTATCTTTCCTTATAAAGTAAAAGACATTTCTTCGTATTTCTTTGTTCAAAAGCAAAACACTGTTAATGATGGATCAGATGATGGAGTTTATGCATTTGTCCACTGGCTAATAGGTATGTTTGTTGCCTATCGTAATAAATCATATACATTACTTCAGTTCCATTTGTTTTGTTAATTTTATGGCCCTTTGACATATGAACTTCACATGTACTAGTGTAGTAGTGTATCGTCATTTTTCAACCCAAGCCAATCAAGGCCAACAACGTCTGAAGACATCAGTGTATGATTTGCATTTCAGGTATTGCAATGTTGACTTTTGCCCTGCTGATGTCGGCGAGGATGGGCATTTTCCAGGAGACTTTATATAAAGAATATGGCAAACACCCCAAAGAAGCTCTGTTTTATAATGTAAGCTTCACTCAGTTCATATTGGGTCTTTTGTTGCATGTGTAAGCATTCTGAATAGGATGCAATAACATGACTCTCTCCTCAGCACTGCCTTCCTCTTCCTGGCTTTCTGTTGCTTTCCACTGACATCTACAGACACTGTGTTTATTTCAGCCAGAGTGGTACGTAATAATTACTTTTACAGATGCATATTTACATCTGTGTTAACATGGATAATCTGTTCTTTATTTTTTTGTTAGCTCCCATGACTGTTCCAGCGGTCGGACTGACGGTTCCCATAATGTGGTTCTACCTGTTTATGAACGTCATCACGCAGTATCCTTTGAAATACATATTTAACTGAACACAAATAACTACATGTATGTCAATTAACAAAGTCCAGGGCAGTTTATTTGTATAGCTCAATTTATACACAGGGCCACCTTAATGCATTACAAAACAAGGGCCTTTGTAGATGCAAGCCAACTCACAGTTAGAAAGTGCCATAAAAACATCCCAAATGTATGTATTTTTCAACTTATTATAAATGTTTACATGGTGTGGCTTTAATGTTTAGTTATTGTTCTATTTCCTTAGTCTTATCTTTCTGTCTATGGCATGTATGCTAAAGGATATTTTCGGAAACCGTCAGGGTGTGTTTAACAAGTCAGGTCACGCTTCATTGACAGCCAATAAAGCAAAACAAAGCCGATAGAGACTGTTGTAACTGTAAAAACATGATTTCATTAATGACAGGGTAATTAACACACCATTGACTTGTTTTACACCACACTTTTTAATTAAACTTGAGTCCTATAGCCAAAGAATAAAGAGTCAAAATAAATTGTCCTCAAACTCTAATCTGACAATCGCCCTAATCACAAAAACAAACAAGCCCCTTCGTGCATCGCCTCATGTCGTTTCTTTCTGCTGTTCACATAAACATACACCACAGCTGATGGAGCTGTGTCCATTCTTTCTAGCGTAGATACTCTACCACATTTTAATACATACTTTGGCCGTGTTGCTATATAGGCTTCAGAGATTAAAGAACTTTAAAAAAAATTAGCAGCTTAGAGTCCAGCAATTACAGGATATAAGATAGACTTTATCGATCTCACCCAGGAGAAATTTACAGTTGTATTCTATATTTACGTTATATATTGTCATAAATATGTCTTGTGTTGTAGAGCGTGATTATAAATGTGTTGTGTATAGAACGATTAGTAAACCGAAGCTAAAATGTGGTAAACCTGATACCTCAAAGTGGATCTCCCCGAGGTTTGTCTTCCTTTTTCTCCCACCGGGTTTTAGAGTTTTCCCTTGCTGATGCAGGAGGGTCTGTTTGTGGTCTAACAAGGACTGTGGTGATGACCCAGGACACTAACATTCTACAACATGTATGGACATTTATAAAGGTTGATACCTTTATGGACATTGGTCAACTCCCCCTATGGGCCAATTCTATATTTTTTGTCTTTTAACTGTTGATTCTCTCATCTGTGTTGGCGATTTCAACGGTTTTGTTAAGTCGTCTGAGATTACTAGTGTTGTGATTTAGGGCTATACAAGAATAAATTTAATTGAATTGAATAGACTGTACAAAAACCTTAACCAGTTATTTCAGATACGTTTGCATTCGCGGCGTCTTCATCTTGACCACCGAGTGTGCCTCCCTCACCGTCACGTTGGTCGTCACTTTGAGAAAGTTTTTGAGCCTCATCTTCTCCATCTTGTATTTCCAAAACCCCTTCACCGCGTGGCACTGGGTCGGCACTGGGGTGGTCTTTTTGGGGACCCTCCTGTACACAGAGGTCCTGGGCAGTTTGCACACAGCCCTCCTCGGACCACCTGCCAAAGACAAGAAAAAGGAATGAAAAAGATGTTTTGTTTTCAAGTTCTCAGTAGTTTTGAACAAATTAGTCAGTTTTTTTTTCAACAATGCACTGGAAAGAAACACCCCATTTTCATATTTTTATTTTCTGCTGTTTGTTGATGTTGATGCAATTTTCCGCCTCCTTAAATATGTTTATGTTGTTTTTAAATTATGTGTCACATTTGTACATTATTTTACTTGTAGGTCATGAGACTTTTCATATTTATTTCTACAATTATGTATTAAGGTATATGGACACAATAAACATACTGCCATGTCTTAAAACGTTAACGTTGAAGTAGTAGAGCTGGGGTAGCTAAATTCAAAACAATCTAGTTTCTGGCTTTTAAAATAATTTGGTACCATCACTAGTTTTCACCATTTATTTGTGGCCTTTTTCACATCTTTAGATCAGCTTTATCTTAATACCCACCCTTAGCCAATCTCTAAATCCAAATAATCAAATCAAATTATTTCAGATTTCAATATGGGAAAGAACAAATATCTTAATAGGTAAAACAAAAGTTGAGTTTCCCAGCTTTAATATGAGCCTTGTCCTAGTTGTACAGTTTTGTTTTAGGAGGTATTTGTATGCAGCCATGTTGATAGAATATACCATTTGCTTGAAAGTGCATAATAATAAATCATTTGTTGCATATCACTTGTCAAATGTTATTCTTTAAACCTATCTTAGTGAATTATAATATCAGTATAATATAATTTGTGTATTTGAGATATTGTGCTTGAATTGGGCTCATATTCCAATTCGGGACATAATGTTCCCTCATGCTGGTAAAATTCCTCGACTTCATCCAATCAGAAAAGGTGTTGTTGGGCCGGAGCCAATGGGAGCAGCCGTTGTTGGAGCTCGGGTGGGCTGGGCTGGCTGCTTGATAATAACAGAGGACTTGCACTGGTTAATAAACGCAGCTTGTAGATTTGGAATAATTTCTCATTAAATTGTTAGTTCTTTTGGTTGTCGGATGGGGGGGAACGGCCCGAGTCACTTGGCCCCGGGAGAGGAAGCAGGAGGAGTGACTTTTGTGAAGGGCATTCGGGTGAGTAGCAGAGACGCCTGCAAACTTATATTGGCTGCAACAGTAATTTGAGAAAATACTCGTGCACGCCTGTTCTACACGTGCAAACCATGGATGTATTATATTATCAAACATTCAATGAACAGCCTACCATAATAGATCATAACTGCATACTAGAATGCACATATCTACTCTAATAATAAACCTGTCAAGGTAGCTATGCTTTTTATTGTTTCTTTTTCCTACATAATAATTCTACTACATACTTACCCGTTTATACTATTCAACAAAATAAAGGCCTACTGTTAACACAATGTTACATTATGTAGGTTAATCTTAAATCATTCTGGTAAATTAATTATGAATTAATTATAACAAATATGCACAGTACTGCTAAATTGGGGATACATGTAACTGTTTGCCATTGAATAGAATACTTTATTCATACTTTATTAATACCAAAGGAAAATTCAGTTTTGTCTATTTTAATTACATGTTTATTAATTGGGTGCAGCTCTGACTACCACCCCTCGACCCAGAAATGGATTAAGGGGAAGAAAATGGATGGATGGATGTTTATTAATTGTGGTGCAAATGTTCTTGAAAAGCCATAAAGACCATAATAAATGTTATTATACTCTATACCTAACAGTCTATTTTGGTCATTCATATTAGATATAATATTATATATTATACCGCGACCCGGCAACGGATAAAGCGGAAGAAAATGGATGGATTGTCGACATAAAGTGACAATACTGTTTTAAATGTACGCAATTTCCTCAATGTCACTAACTATACATTTTGCTCACAGCTTTCAGACCGAGTCATAAACCGAATGAGGCAGTCTTCAAACAGCATCACTCCTCCATCCCCACAGAGTGAAGCAGCTAAACCTGAAACACCCCCTACGGCTATCCAGACTGCTCCATCATTGGACACTGCACCGGTTAAACTAGTCCCACCTCCACCTGTAAAGTTTCACTCCCTTCCCCCTCCTATAGAGCCCATACCTGAACCAAAAGCTGCACCCATAAGAGAAACAGTGCCTGTAGAACAACCTGTAGACCTACCTCCACCCACTGCTGACCCCATAATAACAACTCCCCCTCCTCCAATACTTGAATCTCCTCCACTTCCAGCTATCGTTGAGATAACTCCAACACCTGAGCTTGGATCCGCACCTCCTGGCATTACTGAGCCAATTTCGCCGCCTTGTGATGATCAAACTTGTCCCATTCTTGTTACAATATTAGAAGATGCACCAGCACCGCCTCCGCTGCCACCTGTTATGGAACCAGTTGAGCCAATACCTACCGTTATTCCTATTATAGCAGAACCCACCACTGAAACCGTACTGTCTCCACCTATAGAAGTCAAGGCAGCTATAGCAGCACCTCCCGCTGAGTGTTTGCCTCCTACACCTGCAGAACCAGTTGCCTTCGTTGCTCCCGTTGAAGCTACATCTATTTTGCCACCGCCTACTGACTCCATCTCTTTGGAACCAGTGATTTTAGCGTCAACCCCAGAACCTGTCAATGTTACACCCATCGATATTACACCAGTCAATAATCCACCTGTTGAAGCTCCACCCCCAGAACTAACACCTGTCGAAGCAACCATTTTCATCCCGCCCATTCCGGATGCACCTATATTAGTCCCTCCCTCTGACTCTATGCTTGACAAGCCCACTGTTTTAACCCAGACTCCAGAACCATGCCTTGTTGAACTAATGACTTTAGCTCCTCCCACTGAGCCCCTTGCTTTAGCCCCGCCTCCTGAGACCACACCTGCGTTTACGGCCCCACCTGCTGAAATCGCTCCAATTATTGAATCAATAGTTTTAACTCCTCCCGAACCTACACCTGTGGAACTGGTCACTGTAACTTCTCCCACCGAGCCTCCACCTGCCGAGCCAGTCGTATTCGCCGCTCTCGCCCAAACCACGCCTCTTTTAACCACGCTCGAGGAATGTGCTGTGCTCGCTCCTCCCAAAGAACTTACACCTGTGTTAGCACCTGTTGAAGCATCTGTTTTAGCACCTGTTGAAACACCAGCCCTAGCACCTGTGGAAACACCGGCTTTAGCACCCATGGAAACACCAGCTTTAGCACCTGTTGAAATACTTGTTGAAGCTCCTGTTTTAGCTCCTGTTGAAGCACCTGTTGAAGCTGTAGTTTTAGCACCTGTTTTAGCCCCGCCCCTAGAGCTGCCTGCCCCAGTCACTGCCCACGTTGACGTTGTGCTTTTACCTTTATCTCCGGACCCTGAGGCCCTTGTACTGTCCCTCACTCCTGATGACACGCCTCCGGTTCTGTCGATCGAATCTCCACCCGAAACTCCACTCACGCCTCTTGCTTCAGTGGAACCAGTTGTAGTGCCAGAAGAGACCCCCGCAGAGGCACCAGAACTGGCCCCTCCCTCTGAACAGCCCACGCCTGTTGAAGAAGTGCCGGTTAGCACAGCGGAGTCCCCAGGTTTGACTGCACTCACTTCAAAACTAGCAAACAAATACACATCAAGCAAACTTCTCCAAATAAAGCATTTCATAATATGACTAAGTAGGGAATATTTACAAATATAGAGGCTCATTTATCAAGCGTTTGCTCATGTGTAAAGAGATTAAAACCTTATTTTTTTTAAATAAAAAATAAAAATAACATTGATCTTATTCTAAAAAGCTAATAAGAGTATTAATCAGCCACAGGCCTTCAGGTCACAGCAGCAAAGATGGAGTAGCCTCTGGGTGGACCAGGACGGGTCACTTGCAGAGGTGGAATAGCCACTGGGTGGAGCAGGACGGGTCACAGCAGCAGAGGTGGAGTAGCCACTGGGTGGAGCAGGACGGGTCACTTGCAGAGGTGGAGTAGCCACTGGGTGGAGCAGGACGGGTCACAGCAGCAGAGGTGGAGTAGCCACTGGGTGGAGCAGGACGGGTCACTTGCAGAGGTGGAGTAGCCACTGGGTGGAGCAGGACGGGTCACAGCAGCAGAGGTGGAGTAGCCACTGGGTGGAGCAGGACAAGTCACATGATAAAATACTTCAGCAATTTTTGTTATTATGTAACAGTTTTTTTTTTTTTCAAATCAAATCAAATTTTTGTCTTTTGATTGAAGTGTCTTCTCCCTAAAGCAGAAGCGGTCCCTCTTGAGGTGGTTGAGGATCGACTGAGGCAGAAGATTAAAGCTGAGTTCGAGTTGAGTTTGGAGGAAGAGATCAGTAAGAGAAGAGAAGCCCTACAAAAACAGTGAGTTGAAACTTCTTCAAATCCCACACTTTAAAATGTCAAAATGTTCATGGGACAGTTTTTGAGTCGTTAGTCTCAGTCATTAGATTATTTGTCAACTTTGTGAAATTTTCATCCCTATGTTAAATAAGTTTAGTTTTGTAGGGAAGTTGGTTCCTACAATTATCCATTTAACCATGTATTTATTATTTCCTTTGTTTTATCAATATGACAATTTAAACTTTACCTGTTTTTTTTTTCTTTATATTTTTCTAACAATTCTCCAAATGTCAATGCAATCTGGCCATATTTCTCTCATATAATTTTACTTTCTGGTTATAAATTATAACAAAACTGGGCCAAAACTCCTCCAATGTAAAGATAATATATGTTGACAAACTATGATTTAGTGGAATCAATTAAATAAGTGTTAAAAGAATCCTACCTTTCACTTCATCATTTCTAGAACACTGCTCCACTTCCTGTAAATTTAATTCAAAACTTGTCATTTTTAAAACAGGCATCATTCCACCAGATAAACACAAAATAAGAGATTTCTAAAAAATGGTTATATGCATTTTAACTACAGCCTGATCCATCTTAACTTAGCCAACTATACTACTACTATGCTCTGCTCTCTACATTGTGTTTGGAAACGTTGCAGGTTGGAGGAGCTGAGAGGGCTCGCCATCGCTGAAGCCGAGGCCGCGGCTCAGGCCCAGGTGGAGCAGCAGGTGAAACGGACCCTGGAGGCGGAGAAGGCGGCGTACATGGAGAACCTGACCCAGTCCATCGCCAAGGAGCGCATCAAGACGGAGGACGAGAAACTGATGGTGCAGCTTTATGTGAGCATGTCGCCGCCGAACTGCATGTATTCGTACCAGGATCACTCCAATAATACATGGCAAGAGTGTGCTCTTTCTGATTCCTTTTTTCCTTTTTCTCTTTCTCACGTTTGTCCTCGTTCAGTGGATGGAGCTTAAGGTAAGGCGGGTATGGTCTTTGCATGGGGGTCTATCATCTCTCTTCTCTCCAACTGCTGTGATTTTGGACTGACAGTGATTATTATTATTGTTACTGGTCTAAATGTTCCCTATCATTGCATATCATATGGATTTTCACAGGCGCATAAGCTGGAGATCAGAGAGGAAGAGATGAAGAAACGAGACGCGCTCTACAAGGAACACATTGCAAAACTAGAATCGAAGGTATACTGTTGAAAAATGTTTTAAGTTATATAGTTAGTATTCTGTGTTATTATTCTGTTAATGCGTGTACTGAACATCTGCTGGAAGTACATTAGAATTTCACTGCATGTAATGTGTATGTGACAAACTGATATACTAAACTAAACTAGTGGCTATTGTTGGGATTACAGCTGATGTAAAATACTGAAAGCCTCCCCCAGTATATTCTTATTAATTAGAATTAGTATAGTTCAAGGATCTTACGCTTTCTTGTCAGGATGAATTGTAATTACACTTTTGAAAATAAAAAACAAAACATTTCAATATGAATTTCTTGTATTCCGTTTAGTGTTCCCAGTTTTACAAAGTGACCGCTGACAGTTTCAAGAAAAGCAAAGAGGAGACACACAATCGTTTTCAGTAAGTTATGCAACATTAGAACAACCGGAATTTTTTGGTGCATCGTAAAGTGTTGAATGTATGTGTTTGGTTTTTGTTCCCAGACGTTTTAATATCCAGCCGGTGTGTGGGGATCTACAAAGTCAGATCCTGAAGTGTTATCAGGAAAACCCAGGGAAATCTCTGTCCTGCTCCAGCATTGCCTCTGCCTACATGCAGTGTGTGAACAAAGCCAAGGTGGTGAGTCCCCTTTGCTCTGCTCTGTGACGCCATTCGTTATTACTCAATTTGACAAGGGCTTTGACAATAGGCCTATTTTGTAGAATGTTGTTTTAGTTGGAGGGCAGGTGCCAATGCAAGTTCATGGGAAGAAGATATTATTGAAAAAAGTATTGAAAGATTAATGGTTCAAATGTTTTCCCCAAATCAATAATCGATAGTGTATAAATTCACAAAGCACGCGATAATTTATATGTCTGAAAGTTCCTTCTGCTGGCCAACCTCAGGCTTATCTGAACTCTGAACATTGTAAAGCACTTTGGGTGACCTTGGTTCGTAAAATGGGCTATATAAATCCGACCTCTAGCTTGGAAGACACCAGTAGGTTGCCACCCCTTCAGAAGTAACTCAAAATATGTTAATTTGTATTACTCCAAAATGTTTGATTCAAATGTCCACAACAAGTGTAAATGCATACTAACTTTGTGGTAAATGATAAATAATGACTAGGATACTAGTAAAAGTACCCCATCTATGGCTCCCGCCCTGGATGCTTTAAATGGATTAGCTCCTTGCCATTTTCGTCCTGAGAAAGTAGCTTTCTAGGTGAAAAAGAAAAAATATGGAGACCCTTGAATTTGACCATTTGTTGGTATGCACTGACAGAGAAGATATTTTATGTGGATTGGATCAGGAAGGACAAAGAAATTTGACTAGAGGTCTGACTTTTGACAGTTACTATAGTTAGCAGCTGCCTCCCACCACATTCTAAAACTATAGGCTTTGCAATGTTGCGCCACCTATTGACAAATTCAAAGTAGCAATGACTTTGAATTGACTTTTTATTCAATAAATTTTTCCCTCTGTATTTGCAGGACAAAATGAGCACCAGAGGCTGAGAGGGAGAAATGCAAAAAACAAGAAGGACTTTTCTATGAAGAAGGATTATACGCACGTGGATTTACTAGGGATAACTTTTTGACCTGTCTGTCTTTCCAACTTGTAAATGGCTGTGGAGCTGTTGTTCTATTTTTTGCATGACACAAATGAGTCCGATGATTTCTTGTCACTATGTTATGCCTTTATTCCGTACAGCTAAAGTGATACTGTTATATGACACCTATACTGTGACAATCCAGGTTTACCCACATCACACCTCCTGCAACTTACTGTGCCAAAACAAACATGTATCATTTTTTCGTTCAAATCCACTTATGGCTTGATTGATTAATATTAACGTGTGCCTTGAGTGTAATATAAAGGTGATGATGGACAGATGTTGGAAATGGAAAAAATTCTGTTTTTCTCAGATTTTATTGAAACCATGTGAAATTAAAGAAGTAGCCTTTTAAAAGTGGTGCATGGATAAATTACCTCAATAAATCCTTGTTTTATCTGACCACACCAAACTTAGCCTTTTTCCTTTCACATTATAAAACTATGAGTTAAGTAATCTAACAAACTGGTCAGTTGAAAATTGAGCTGCTGCCCTCTAGTGGTGTTAAGTTTAACTACAGTATTGCAAATACTAAAAACCCTAAATGTAATACAGGCTGTTTTATTTTTTGCTTTAGACCAAACATACCCTTTGACGTTTGTTGTTGGACGTTCATTGCAAACAACATTTGCATCTTTCCATTGCTTCGAAGTCATTTGCATTTGCACACTTACTGTAAATCATGGAAACATTTGCAGGGGTTGACCTTAAATAGTCAAAAATGATTAATCCAACCCATTTATAATATATCACTTTTTCCAATGATTTACGCAGGGAACGGTCAAACACAATTATAATCTTTGTATTCTAGAGTTTTATCTGCGTTCAGGGCAGAGCTGTAACAAGTGAATGAATTATCACAAATAATCGACTATTTAGATTTATTTTATTTAACCTTTATTTAACCAGGAAGTCCCTTGAGAACACCTCGGTAACAAATAACGTACATACACAAACACAAACAACGACATTATAAAAACACATCAAATTGGTTAAAATATCCAGCTCAAGAGTAAAATCTGCACATTTCAGTCAATCTCTCCTTCAATAAAAACTTACATTAGACCAGGGAACAAAGTCCTTTAACTGTAACAACTTTTGTATGTTCTTCCAAGCCCATGGTGCCGCATGTAGGAAAAGGCCAATCTGCCCAGATAGTTATCAATTACTCTAATCGATTAATGATGTTTGAGCGACATCCAGCAGAGAAGTAATTACTAATTACTATGCAGAAAATAATAAAAATGTGTGTATAGAAAAAAAATCTGTATTTAAAGGCCTTTTGCAAGACAAACTATTAAATGAATCTTCGTCCAACTCATTGATTACACTGAAAAAGTCATGAAGAATTTGTCAAAATGTATCTTACTTTGAGCACATTATGACTTCCTTACACAAGAGTTGCCAATGGGAAGCAAAATTATCTTGTTTTTAAAAGATCCAAGAAAAGCCTGCCTCGGAATGAGAAAATAAAGTAATGTTCTTGATTTAAGAAAAAATGGCTTTGTTCTATTGGCAAATCTTGTTTTAAGACAGTCAGAATGCACTCTGATAAAGATAAAAACAACTCTATTCAAACAACTAAACCTCATATTGTATCATTGTTTGAATTGTATCAAAACAATGGTTAATTACAGCCCTCGCTCAGGGTACTGAAGAGATGTGGTTCAAAGATTTGAGCCCCTATCGAAATGTGTCATCTCATAAAATCCCAAATTTGCTCAGAACACATGAGAAAATAGTTATAGATATATGGATATAAACTACACAAAGAATCAGAAGTTGAACCTTAAACACTGTGTTTCTTCTGGTTTTATGCTCCCATTTAGTATCTGCAATATGACAGTTTACTGTGCTCGGGCTCGTCTTTCATCAGATGTAACTTCAAGGCTGTTTATAGTTATATCATATTTTTAATTCAGAGTTTTGTACTGACTTTGAATCGTTTTAGTTCAATGCGGTGAGTTTATGGTTATGTAACAGTCTCTTTTCTTTTGGTGCTGCTGTTGTGATAGTTACCAAGGATGCAGGACTAGGCCCTTACATAATGGAGATGTTTTTTTCTGTCGCCCAGTCTGCATCACCCCAGGGATACAGTGACACCTGACAATAACACTTCCTCAAAATAGATCTGCGTTATCAACTCGCCGTTCAGGGGATTTGCATTTATTTCAACATCCTGCTATGAATGTAAATCTGTATTAACTCATTAACTAATGAACTGTATTGTCTGCATGGATTGGACTGATTTATGAGATATGATCATGTTTCTGTGTATGTCGCTGCGTGGAATTGATTATGATTGGGTTTTCTAAATTACACAGTTAAACATGATTTACAACCAAGTCATCCACAGCCTTACTACAGAAGGGACCATTGTATAATCACATAGACATTTTACACTGACGCGTTCAAACAAAGCTTTCTTTTTGGACAACATTTGAGCCTCCTCTTGACCTTTTATACCAGTAGCTGACACTGTATGTATTAGCCAACCAACACATCACGCTTAAGAACATGAAACACTCAAAAGTTATAGTTTTTTGTTATGAATTAATAGCAATGTTTGTCACATTTTCCTTAGACATATATACATTGGCATTTATGACTCATTTGATTGCTAGGACAATACAGGTTGACCTAAAGGTTGGTTATTCATGAGTCATTATTGTTCCATTATATAATCTGGTCACTAGACTATTTCATTAGGTTTAAAAAATTAGGATTTAGTCCAGGAATAGTAATATTTCAATGGTCTATTTACTTGAACTTTTACATGTAAGTCTGTTGTTGTTTTTTTATAATGAAGTCTATGATCTGGGTGAAGGGTTTACTACTCCCTGACTCACGGTGTGGTCGTAAGACTCATCCAACAGCAATGAATTATGGGGAAAGCACATGTGCCCAGTTGCATTCATGTTCACAGCGTGAACCTTTGACACCTTCTCGCCGTTTCCAGTCAGACTTGAGGAATGCAGATTCTTCTTCAATGAAAGTCTCACCTGCCATCACCACAGAGATCCTGTTTCAACCTCTTCCCCAGAACAGGGGATTTTCCCAGTAAGCGAGGGGAAGTGTATGAGCCACTTAGTTCTGGTAATAATGTGATTTGTACAGAAAGCACTTGAGCGATCTGGTGAATCATAACTAATGTATAACAGAGAAAGCAATGAAGTGGAAAAATACTCTTCTCACGTGTGAACACATTTCTTAGTATGATAACGTAAATCTAACAGGCCTGTTTCTCTTATAAAAAACCCTCTTAAGTTCATTTGCATGGGGAGTTTTGCACTAAAATTAGAACTAGTAGGCAGGGCACACACATAAACAAAACAATTACACGCTCTGCTTGTTTGGTAACTTTCAAATCCATGAGTTACCAGAGCATTCCTTTTTTGCACCACCTTTGACACATGTTTGTACACAAAGAAGAATTTACATTTGTTAATTTTTCTAATCTAAATTTTTTTAAATGCTCAATAAAGAATGATAATACCAATATGTGTGTGTATAAAATATAAAGTGGTTCCACTCACAATCATCATTCTTATCAAATGAAGTTTACTATTTAATACAGACTACAGACCTCTTTATTGTATTTAATCGTTATTATTTGTTTTATTGATCATTATTAGTGTTATACATTCTTCCCTCTGCTCAGGTAAGCGTTGATACCCCCACACTTCACCACTACACGTATACACACACCACTAAACACACGCACACCCACCACTACACCCACGCACACACACACCCCTGCACATCACTACACACACACCCCTGCACACACCCACCAATACACCCACACACACACCACTACACCCACACACACACACACCCCTACACACACACACACCCCTACACACACACACACCCCTACACATCACTACACACACACGCCAACAATGTTGTCTGCTGTTGCTTCCTCACTGTACTCGTTCGTATGTTTGCACTTGTTTTGTGTGTCTCTATTTTCACCAATTATCATTTCAGATTAAACATTTTCTTTCTTACACCAGTTTTCACCAAATGAAACACAAAACCGACCATTGTTTTGTCATATCTCACTCGTAAAAGAGGAAAGTGCAGATTATTCCACATCACTACATTACAACAGCAAAAACACTGAGCTGAAAAGGGATGAGGATGTAAAAGATGCTTTGTCATGCTGGGTGTGTTTCCACCTCTGTCGCTGCTGCCGTCGCTCCTGCTGGCACTTCATATAATACCATTTGTATTTAAACTGCTTCACAACTTCCAGGAAAGCTCCTCCGCAGACTCCCATCCTTTCTCCTGTGTGAGGGGGCAGCTTGTTGAGTCATATGTAATGACTGTGGTGACTGTACAGAGCAGAGAGAGAGGGAGAGAGAAGCTAGAGGCAAAAAGGGGTTGTGCATCTACATCTCATAACTCCTCCAGCGCGCGAACACAAAACACATACCAGAGACACAACCTTGGGGACATCAACACAATGAAGTACAGGACACTATTGTGTACAGCACGGCGCCGGCATTCAACCACACATGGGAGAATGATGTGTGGGGAGAAAATTAAACGGGTCGAACAAGGTAAGTGGCTTGCAACAGGTAAGTTTCAATGTGTTTTTGTGTGGTGCATGTAGAGTTTGTCAGAAAGGAGAGTATTGTCTTTGTGCCGGTCTAAGACTTGGATAAAAACTGAAACCTGTGATAGGGTTGGTATCTGGAGTGGAAGTTGGAAGCTAAATCAATACGGGTACAAGAAACATAGAAGTATAGGATTGATGCATAGGGTCAGCAATAGTTATAAGTCAATATATGTCATTTTAGTCTTAATTTTAAAATACAATATAAAATAAGACCAGTCATGAGAGGCTTCTGGTATAAAATGCATATATTCAAGTCATGGCACGAATCATATATCAAATAATGATGAGTGAGTGACTCCAAACTAGAAAATTTGACCGATACCTGATCAAGTTCCATTCAATAAGGGGTCTTGCACTATTTTAATACAAGAGTCGAGCATATCTTATGGTACTCTTAATGTACATATTGGCTGTTTGTCCGATACATTTTTAGGACAAGTAAATATCCCTGGGCAGTGTTCCCTCCCATGTTCCTACGTGTTTGCCAGGTGACCACACCTGGATTCTGGCCCACATTGCTACAAGTATAAAAATAGCAATGACACGCACTGCAAACTTGACTGAACTGCGTCATTCATATTATAGTCCATTGGTCTTTTTGAACACAGCAATGACAGGACACATGTAAGCCCCTATGTTATTGTGGTTCCATGGTAATGCTGTGGTGACGAGACCCAGAATTCAAATGTTCACTAATACCCTGTAATATTAACCTGAGTAAAAGATGAATATAATGTTGTTAGTTACCCTGAATGAGTTGTAGATAATGATAAAAAGTGCAAATGTATTGTTTCAATATATATTCTTGTTATTTTTATGCTCATTCTCTGAACTCTCATAATAAAGTACAGACTAATGAATGACAGAAACTATGTCATGAAAAAGTCTTCCATTACCATTCATCCTGATACTACCCCACCCACCCACCCATACATACACACACACACACATATACACACACACACACAAGCACACACACATACATACTCTCTCTCACTCACTCACACACACACACTTACACCCTTATACATACTCTCACACAAGCACACACACATACCCCTACACATATATACACACACACACACACACACACACATACCTATATACATATTTTACGCTTTGGGAGCACAATAAGCTGTCCTCATTGCGTCTCATTTATCTCAGGAATAAATGTACAGTGCAGTGGGTAATGACTCATCAGACACAAGGTTGTTTGCATACACACATGACATACAGCACTTCCTGTTTGCTTGCTCTTTAAACACAAAGTTCACATGCATGAGATGAAATCATGTGGATTCTTGATAAGTGTTAAAACAGCATACAAATTAGTGTGGGCAAAATCTTACTTCACGGCTAATAAAACGTGAGCACACCATAATTGAAAGGTAGAATAAATGGATTCTTACCAATATCATTTGCAAAACAATTGATCTATAAATAGTGATTGCTAAAATAGTTGAATTGGGAAATATTGTATGACTCAGTATTTATGAATGACCTTTGCTCATTGATTCAATGTGACCAAGTAAGTAAGTAAGTAAGTAATCTTTATTTATATAGCGCCTCTCACAGACCATAGTCACAAAGAACTTAAGAATTATTTTGGGCATTTGTCTCTCGCTCCACATAGAGATGGGAGTGAGGTCACCAGAACAGGAGGTTGATGCCAGACCTATTGTACATGTTTTTAGTGGTAGGGGAAACCGGAGCACCAGGAGGAAACCTACGCAGACATGGGGAGATTATACTGTACAAACTCCTCTCAGAAAGGCACTGTTCCAACCAGGATTCAGGACCTTCTTGCTGAGACGCGAAAGTGCTATCCACCCAGCCACCGTGCCGGCTTGCATTACATTCTTCCTATGACATAAAGAGCTACAATCTATTCCACAATCGAAATAATCAAATATGGATTGAGTTAGTTCAAGGTGTGCCTCTCTGAAGAACAACCAACTGCTTCTAATCACTCTCCTGACCACCTTTAGACGACATGCGTGTATTCAGAACCCCACAGTACCATTACAGATAATTGTCAGTCCTTGCCCTGTATGTGAACTCACCTAAACATCAAATAAGGAGCAGTTTGATTTCCATTTGAAACCTGATCTATGGCCCCAGTAATAGTGTTATGCAACAGTGTTTGAATTATTTAATTCACATATAATGTACACTTCAAAGTGTTTTGTTTTGATGTCTGAGTGACTTATACCGCAGCACATGCATCTGTTAGAAGAAATGTGCAGCTATAAAGACAAACACATGACTGCAGTGCACTTACAGTAGATGAGTCCCAGGGGTCGACGCGTCATGGACTAGTCATAGCATCAAAGTGTTCAAAACATTTCCCTGGAAAACAAAGGGTGGGATTCATCCAAGAGAGGTTCTTCATTTATGAGTGTTCGATGGAGAGAAAAAATAGCTTAAATATAGCATTTTATTCAAAGTTACATCAACACAAATATAATGTTCTTTTCTAACCAGTTTTTACATTGATATTTATTTTGACTGTCACAGTATAAGAGACTTAACTGACAGTTTGAACAATAAATCAAGTGTTTTGCAGTGTATGTGAACTTCCTGGGTCCACTGTATATCTTGTGTCATTTCATTCCTGGCAGAGTAGACTGACAATTCCCAACTTGAGCAAACACTTGGCAACAGTGGAACTGGAAACTCCCTCCAGTGGAGTCAAAGTATTATTGTTATAAACCAGGGTCAAGGAAAGACCATCTCACCATACTATACAGTTGTTTGGAAGATACAGTATATGAAAATAATAATTGACTCATTATAAAGCACATTTAAAAGGACCTAAGGTATTTTACACATAGGTATATTAGTATCAGGCAGACAATAGTGACAAACAATTAATTATGTTTACAAATGGGTAATTTTAGATTTATTTGTAGGTTGTAAGCATTCCTAGGTTTTCATGTAGATCATCACAATATTCTTGAAGAGAATGTTTTCTTATGCAATATGTGAATTTGAATAAAACAAGTTGTGTTAAACATTGTGTCATCAATTCTATGGAGAACATAGGAACAAATCTGTGTTTAGGTCCTGCTGAAAAAAGCCAATTTGTTTATCTTCTCAAAACGATTGTTTTCCCCTTAATGATATATACAGTATATATACGGTTACTGTAGTCTATGTATGTATGTAAGTAATGTAATAATATTGTTATTAAAAATAAATATATATTGATTGTCTCAGATGATTCTATTAAATATATATGTATATAAATAGTATATATATATTTGAGTGTGTCTGTACACACATTTATACACACGTCTTTGTTTTTTTTAAATAAATAATCAAATTCAAGTTATACTTATACATACACTGTAATTAACAAAAGGCAAATTTGGACATTATAAACATATGTGTATGATGAGAATTGTGAGATTGGACAAGTGCCTGGGCAGTGGTGTTTTTCTTTTGTGCTCTAACACATCTTTCTCTGTTCAGCGCACGTCACAGAGGTGGTTTTGTCTCCAGCAGAGGAGGAGCTGACACTGATGCTGGTAAATGGAGGGTCCACACACACTGGAGTTTCCTGTAGGTTTTGCTGACAACTTATTTGTCCAAAATATCTCCCTGAACTCTGGCTCACTGGAGGATTTCCTCCACCATGGGGTCAGTGGACTGTGCTGAGGCAACACCCTGCAGATGAGAGTGAATACAAGAAATCACCATGTTCATCGTCCAAATACTGATTTATACGGAAGTGCTTTTTGAAGTACTTTTGAGAAGTTAATTAAATCAAGATTTCTATTTTTGTACGGCATTTTTATATCACCTTTGAAATGGAAAATGTAATAATGTTGCATGGTTTACAACATACTAGTAGAAGAGTAATATTGTTTTATGCTCTGGTCCTTTAGAAGTAAAAGGCCTTGGAGATTTGCTTGTGAGATAAATCATGTCTGGATGATTCAAATGCTGAAAGAAAAACATTTTTGGTTTTAAGTTAACCAAAAAAGTGTATTAAATCCCTGCCCTCAGAAACTGATTTCTTTTGGTGACATAGATGTTTGGCTATGGTCTCTAGCACCATATGAAATCAGTGTTCTGGGAGGTGGACACTCAGCATGTGCAATTATGATGTTATGATGTAGGTTGTGTTTGGGTAAACTTCTACTTTCCTCTGTTTGGAAATAACATGGTCCTCCTCTCTCACTTTTTAAAAAACTGCACAATAAAAACTTTAAAACATGATGTCATGCTTGAGTCTTCTGTGATTTGTGTTTTCTAAATATACTAAGCCATTTATTACACAATGTATTAGTAGCTCATTAGTCTTTATGATTTTCACATACATCCTAATGCTTATTCTTCTAAAAAACAAGTCCATGACCTCACTAAAGTTGTAAAAATTGGAAAAGAGGAAGAAGCAGAAAGAACCACACACCTGTTATGGGCTGTCCACTGCCCAGAGATTACAAACCCTCCCTGCTGCTTGAAAGGGGAAGACAGTTTGGTGACTGTATTCAGTTCCCTGGCGCATACTTGGGCGCGTTATAATCACTATCGAAAACCCGCCCGTTGTATTTGACGCCTTTCAAGTGGACTGCATTCAAGTTCAGAAAGAATACCAATTCCTTGTTTTGTTCTATACTTTAAAATAGGTATTTTATGAAAGTAGGTAACAGCAAGTTTGGTCAAGACATTTAGGACATTCTAAAGACTCTTTGAATACAATCTAAGTCGAGTTTAATGCCACATTGGTCAAAACTAGGAGATGGACAGGAAAGGAAGGAAACGGAGGGAGGTAGAATCTCCTTCTCTCATTCACATGTTTCTGACCCCGCCCATTTCACTGTCGCTTAGCAGCAGAACCCAGAGGCCGCTCCTGATTGGTGCGTTTCCAAGAATCCGCCATATTCAAAGTTCCGCTGTGCCGTGTGTTCTGTTGTCATCGATCTCGTCTCTCTTTTGTACACAACAAGACAGTTTTCATTGCTTTGGGCAGTTTTGTTTCACTTTGTCGCTGCATATTTCAAACCTGCAAGTAAACCCAAAGCTGTGCCTCGGTGAAAATGGAAGAAAACGAGGATATATGCGGAACGATGGGTAAAAAGAGACTTCGTAGAGTGTCATCGCGGACGTCCACCACCAGTGTCATTAGCGTTACTGAGCCATCCCCGACACTGCTCCGGAGAAACAGCTCAAAGCGGTGAATAAATAACTTGTTACTAGCCATACAGCGTACAGGTCTAAACACATGGATCTATAGTGAGCTTTTGTTTTGCTAGCTAGCTAGTTAGCTGCTGCGAAAATAACTGCTCATGGTGCATTCAAGTACGCATCGGAAAGCTAATCTCGTTTGTCTAGATAAATACAACACTCATTCACGACAAAAAACTAGTTGACTAAGCTCAGATTGTTGAAAATTGGCTTACACAATAATAATGAAGGGAATGTGTTTCAGTGCACTAATAATGTTTGTGTATAATGTTTTGCACATCTCTGTTTTGAACTCGTCCTGGTGTTACATTGATTTCTCTAAAGTTAAATTATCGTATGTATTTTAAGCAATGTTATTCCAGATTGTGTAAATCCTTATAGAACCAGTGCTATTGCAGTTTTATCCCTGTTTTACTGGTACTTGTTGGGGTAAATCTTCAGATACGGTAGTATCTTTGGGGCAGCAGTGGTACTTTTCTTCAGACAGTTTCAACCACTTCACACATTGATGTTTGAATTTGTCCTTGGGAGAAATCTGGAGGAGTCTGGTTTGCACAGATGTAACTCTCTGTAGCACTCCTTTCCAAACATCAAGTTATTGTTGATGTTTGGACAGGAGAGTCCTTAGATAAAATAGATCTTACTTTGAAATGTTTTATGTTGAAGAATAAGAACATTTCAACAGATGACAAGCTTCACTATGACCCTTTTTATTTTTTCATATTTTCATTATGTATTTTATATTCTATTCTTTTAACTTATAGGCATGTTTTACAAAGAGGCAGTTCATTCACATTCTTGACTCCTGGGACGCCTTGGGAATTTGGTCTTGTAAGTTACTAAGCAAATGTGTTGCATAATATACATGTGTATATTTGTAGATGGATGTGTATAACATTTTTTTCCCCCACAGAAGAGAAAGCGCAAAGACAAAGATGATGACACAGTCAGTTTGTCCAGTTTTGACTTAAAGGTATTAAATATTTTATGTGATCTTTCTAAAAATGCAAGTGATGCACTGATACCAGCATCAGGTATTGGTGCTTGTACTTGTATTGGGACCATATTGACAATTTCACAGAGTGTCTCATGGAGCAGAGGAGAGGATCATGCAGGCTCTACACAACTGACAACTGTCTAATGTTTTATTATAGACAGTTTTCTCACATATGTAATCACGTCAATCAATGAAACAGTCCCAAATTCAATTATGCAATTAATGTTACTACATTATTGACCTCTAAGATATCTGGTCTTGGTATTCTATAAATGAAATAAAGTTCATATTCATTTTGGAAAAATTGGTAGTAGCCCGTTCCTAAAACACACATTTTTAACATTTATTTCAGGAACCAACCAACAAACGAGTGCGGTCACTAGCTAAGGTGTCATCCCTCGTCAATCTGATTTCACCTTCAAAAAATGGAGCTGTTCGGCGCTTTGGACAGACCATCCAGGTATATCTATTTATGACTTGATCTGTACATACATATTTATAGTCTATCTATACCTTATTTTATATTAGAAATGCATGCAAAACTGACCTTGAGGCCTTTTGGTGTTTTTTCCCACCTAGTCTATGTCTTTACGAAGTGACAGCAAGTCTCCAGGGATGACACTCAAAGGGAATAGCAAAGCAGCCGGTCCCACACCAACCAAACGCAGAAACAGCACACTGTGGTCCGAGACCCTGGGCGTACATCAGAAGAGCACATTCTCCACCAAAGAGATCAAACGACAAGAAGTAGGCCTTTCAAGGCTGGAGCTATAATTACTCTCAACATTTGTTTTTTTTTTTATGAGACGAATTCCTTGTGTTTATTTTCAGGCAATTTATGAGCTGTACAGAGGAGAACAGGATCTAATTGAAGATCTTCAACTTGCTAGAAAGGTTATTAAAGCCTTTAATAAGTCAGGCAAAATTGTGTTGTCAGTTTACTCACTTGTGTCTCTTTGTGCAGGCGTATCATGACCCCATGCTCAAGCTCTCAATTATGACTGAGGAAGAATTAACACATATATTTGGAGACCTTGATGCATACATCCCTTTACATCAGGGTAATTTTTATAATACTATTATTTTTAAAGTTTGGACGTTGATTTTGTCTTAATTTATTTTGCAGATCTTTTGATGAAGCTTACTGAAGGGACAGGCCCCGACGGAACAGTAGCTCTGATTGGACAGATTGTTATAGACTGGGTCAGTACAACTTTAGAATCATTCACATTTTTACTAGCTTACAAACATAATAAATGTACCAAAATATGGTATTGTTATGTCATAGCCTGTAGAGGGTGACAGATGCACATTTTTTAAGTTCAAAACAATGAGCTTGTCTCCCTCCTACTCTGTCTAAGATTAAGAGATTCTTTATTCGTCCCACATTGGGGAAATTTCAGTGTTGCATCACCAGTTACAGAACAGTAGGAATGAGTAGCCCACAGCACAGATGAATTAACAATAACTCTATTCTAAAAAAAAAAACTCTAGCATGAAGAAGAATCAATTATGAAATCTCTATCTTTTGCATTATTATAAAAAGTATAAAGTACTGTGCATTCTAGTGCAAGTAATGTATAGTTGTATGTATACATCTATATACATGTTAACAGCATGAGGGTCTGAGACAAAGTAAAGTAACAACATTTTAAGTTATAAGTTAGAAACATGCATTCAAATCAATACCACGTGAACCTGGAATGATTTGCTACATTGTGAAAAGTTGAATGATATTAAAAGTCATAATGAAAGGAAAACCCATTCTGAAACTGGAATTTTCAGAATGGGTTTTCATAAAAATCATATTTTTCTTCTTCAGAGACATATTTAACAATGGAATTATTTGCTCTCAGTTGCCGGGCCTCAATGCATACAAAGGCTACTGCAGTAACCAGCTTGCAGCAAAAGCTCTGCTGGACATGAAGAAGCAGGACAGACGAGTGCAGGACTTTCTGCAGCGCTGCCTGGAGTCTCCATTCAGCCGGAAACTGGACCTCTGGAGCTTCCTGGACATCCCACGCTCACGACTGGTTAAATATCCACTGCTGCTGAGAGAAATACTCCGACACACACCTGCTGATCACCTAGACGTGAACAGTCTTGAGAGAGCTGTAGGTCTTCATATTTATTATTATTATTAGTTATATTTGAATATATGTGTGTATTTGTTTTCTTTTACCAATGATTTAGTTGAATCTATTTATGGTGATCCCTGAAACTAATATGAGATAGAGGACTACTACAGAACAGAACTGGAATTGCTGGTAAATAAAATAGAATAATTGTGAGCAAATTGTGAGAATAATTGTTGGAAGCCAGGTCACTGTATAGAAAGTGTCCTGGATCCTGGAGCTCATGTAGTACTTCTATTACTTTGCCGCCTATAGGGTTAAAGTCTGATCTTTGATATTATGCCTCAAGAGGAGGTGGTTTTCCCCTGTCACATGTAGAGGTGGGAACCTCAGGGTACCTCACGATACGATACGCGATACAAAGCTCACGATAACGATTATATCACAATATGACGATTATCGATATATTGGTCAGAAATATATCATATGCCAATTTGGCATAGATAAAAGAAAAATGTTAAGTGAAAAAATACACTTTATTTCATGATAAATGGAATGGAGATGCGAAATGTAGTCATATATTCTGTATTGACTACAAATAATAAAATAAAATAAAAAATCGATACTTGGCAAATGCATATTGATAATCGATTGCGGGAGAAAGTATCACAATGTATCGATATATTGTCACTCTCAAGGCAGCGCAAACAGTCATAATTTGCAAGTTCTGATAAATATCTTGTTCTATCCTCTTTTTCTTTTTTTTGATCAAATTCAAATAGGTGAACTTGTCATTCACCTATTTTATTTTATTTACATTATTTTTATTTATTATTTAGGATAGTACATAATAAATATAAACGTAATATCAATCTTTGCTTTGTTTGTTTCAGATAACTATAATACAGGAAATCTTATCTGACATAAATGTGAGAAAAGGGGAGTCCGAGTGTCAGTATTACAAAGATAAACTGGAATATCTGGATGACAAGCAGCGGGACCCTCTCATAGACGACTGTAAGACCCTCCTCTGTCACGGCGAACTGCGCAACAAGAGTGGCTCGGTAACAACAACCTTTTGTCTCTCGGTTCTTAAGCATTATCATACGCAATGTCCTATTTTGTATTTATTTTCCTATTATTTGCATATAGCGTCTTGAATCTGTAAAGATAAATGGCTGTTTCTTTTCTCTCCAGAGGCTGCATGTGTTCCTGTTTTCGGAGTTGCTGGTCTTGACCCGTCCTGTGACTCGAAATGAAAAGAGCTGTTTCCAGGTTTATCGTCAGCCAATCCCAGTGCAGGACCTGGCTCTGGAGGATCTGCAGGACGGAGAGATCCGAATGGGCGGCTCTTTCAGGGGAGCTTTTGTCGCTGGAGAAAAAGGTATGTGCAGGAAAGGGAACACAAAGGAACTACACATTTTAAACATGATATGGTCAGAAAAGAGCCTGAAATATAATAGGTGATTTGAGGCGTTAATGCTTCCACAATCACCACATAGAGAAACCAGATTAAGCCAGGACCTCCTTGTTCACTTGGAGGAGGGGATGCATCACAGATCTCTCAAAAGATTCATTAAAAAAATTTCTTGTGTAGCCCTAAATCACAACAGTAGTTATTTCAGAGGACTTTCAGAACTGTTGAATTCACCAACACAGATCAAAGAATCAAGCTCAAGAAATGCAATGATAAAGAAACACATGGAGCATTGGTCCTCAAGGGTTCAGTTTGTAATGTAACTTTTTACATATTTCATGTTTGTTTCCTGTACTCAAGGTTTTGTGCCATGATCACTAATGAATGTTGATATAGCCAAACAAAGTAACAGAATTTAAAAGGTTCTGAGCTTTACAATGAGGTATAGCCGATATTATTATAGATCCATGGGTATAGCGTGTCCTGTATTTGTGGAGATCAAGTTGGCTTTATGATTCCAATGGCTAATTTTGTATTAGCAGAGGGCCACAGAAAATGACAGAGGGTAAGGCCCTGCGACGTGCACCTGGACTAAACAATTGGGCCTTGTTATAAGCTATGAATGAATGAATGTGTAAAGATTTTACTGTATATTTGTGATAAACTGAGCTGAAGTAAACAAAGAATAGACGCACCCACATTTTTCTAGATTATAATTTGTGACCATACTGTAGTCATTAGTGAATAATATTTTTTTCTTTTTAAGCCAAAAATGTCTTTCGTCTGAGATCCCTGGATCCAGCCCATGGCCAGTCACACACGTTGCATGTCAACGACGTCTACCACAAGCAGCAATGGTTAAATTGCCTGCGCACCGCCATGGCCCAACATCAGAGGGCGTCACCCAAAGCTCAGGGGGAAGTTGTAGAAACTAAAAGAAGCTCTTCCATTTCCTCAATTACTATTCAAGACGGTGAAGAAAAAGACGAGAACTGCCCTGTCCCTACCTCAGGCCCCAAGTTAAGGCCTCAGACAGTCTCACAAATCAAACTGGATCAGACCTCGCAAAGCATTACAAAGAGAAAGGAAACTGGAGTCTAGAATCGATTTGATCTCAACCCCGAAAGTGCACCTCACACCTCTGGTGTGATTTCCACGATCACTGCTTGTTTTTGTTGTTGTCTGTTGCTGCACTGAAAAAAGCTTCTGCCGTTGTTTCCGTCCAAGTCTTAAGTTTCATGCATACAGTGAATTTAGTTTACAAAAAAGAGTGCTTTTGTGACGTCTGCTCATGTTCACTTGTCAATTAGGGATGTATGTTTGTACTTGTTTACATGTTGACCCTTTGTATTCTTATTAACAAATGACCGTGTGCTATTATTTCAGTTTTCTGAAATCAATAATGGGAAAAAAGGAAATGCCATTGAGAAGTTGTGAAAAAAAAAAAAAAACCTGAATGTGATTCAAAAATAAATCAATTAGTTTGTACAAATGAAGTTGTCAAGTGTGTTATTTACAGTGCCTTGCGAAAGTATTTGGCCCCCTTGAACCTTTCAACATTTTGCCACATTTCAGGCTTCAAACATAAAGATATAAAAATAACATTTTTTGTCAAGAATCAACAACAAGTGGGACACAATTGTGAAGTGGAACGAAATTTATTGGATAATTTAAACTTTTTTAACAAATAAAAAACTGAAAAGTGGGGTGTGCAATATTATTCGGCCCCCTTGCGCTAATACTTTGTAGCGCCACCTTTTGCTGCAATTACAGCTGCAAGTCGCTTGGGGTATGTCTCTATCAGTTTTGCACATCGAGAGACTGACATTCTTGCCCATTCTTCCTTGCAAAACAGCTCGAGCTCAGTGAGGTTGGATGGAGAGCGTTTGTGAACAGCAGTCTTCAGCTCTTTCCACAGATTCTCGATTGGATTCAGGTCTGGACTTTGACTTGGCCATTCTAACACCTGGATACGTCTATTTGTGAACCATTCCATTGTAGATTTGGCTTTATGTTTTGGATCATTGTCCTGTTGGAAGATAAATCTCCGCCCCAGTCTCAGGTCTTTTGCAGACTCCAACAGGTTTTCTTCCAGAATGGTCCTGTATTTGGCTCCATCCATCTTCCCATCAATTTTAGCCATCTTCCCTGTCCCTGTTGAAGAAAAGCAGGCCCAAACCATGATGCTGCCACCACCATGTTTGACAGTGGGGATGGTGTGTTCAGGGTCATGAGCTGTGTTGCTTTTACGCCAAACATATCGTTTTGCATTGTGGCCAAAAAGTTCGATTTTGGTTTCATCTGACCAGAGCACCTTCTTCCACATGTTTGGTGTGTCTCCCAGGTGGCTTGTGGCTAACTTTAAGAGACTTTTTTTTGATATCTTTGAGAAATGGCCACTCTTCCATAAAGGCCAGATTTGTGCAGTGCACAACTGATTGTTGTCCTATGGACAGACTCTCCCACCTTAGCTGTAGTTATCTGCAGTTCATCCAGAGTGATCATGGGCCTCTTGGCCGCATCTTTGATCAGTCTTCTCCTTGTTTGAGATGAAAGTTTGGAGGGACGGCCGGGTCTTGGTAGATTTGCAGTGGTCTGATACTCCTTCCATTTCAATATAATTGCTTGCACAGTGCTCTTTGAGATGTTTAATGCTTGGGAAATCTTTTTGTATCCAAATCCGACTTTAAACTTCTCCACAACAGTATCTCGGACCTGCCTGGTGTGTTCCTTTGTCTTCATGGTTCTCTGCGCTTTAAACAGAACCCTGAGACTAATCAAAGAGCAGGTGCATTTATACGGAGACTTGATTACACACAGGTGCATTCTATTTATCATCATCAGTCATTTAGGACAACATTGGATCATTCAAAGATCCTCACTGAACTTCTGGACTGAGTTTGCTGCACTGAAAGTAAAGGGGCCGAATAATATTGCACGCCCCACTTTTCAGTTTTTTATCTGTTAAAAAAGTTTATATTATCCAATAAATTTCGTTCCACTTCACGATTGTGTCCCACTTGTTGATTCATGACAAAAATTAAAATTTTTATATCTTTGATTGAAGCCTGAAATGTGGCAAAATGTTGAAAGGTTCAAGGGGGCCAAATACTTTCGCAAGGCACTGTAACTGATTAATGTTTTAAGTGTAGTCACTTTTTTTTCTTTTGATAATCTGTTTGATTATAATCTGCACAAGAGATAATGAAGCAAGCATTAGAAATTTACTTCAAAAGAATATTGCATAGTAACACTTTTAAACCAAAAAACACATTAATATAGTTCATTAACCAACCAATATTCATATAGCAGCCAAATGGCATTAAAGTGCTTCATGTTATAGTTCAAAAACTGGAGGAGGAGTGTAACACAGAAATTGAATGATGCGATTGGGCAAGTCCAAAGTGGAGACAATGTCCAGAGCTTTAGTGCCCAGTGCTGTGCGTAGTGTGACTCGAGAGAGCTGCTGCAGACTCAGCGGTGTGTCTAAAGACAAAAAGCACAAATGGCATGATTATGTAGATTAGATGTGAATGGATAATGGTAACTTACTCTCATAAAACTCCAGGCAGCAATAGGAAGGGGAGCCAACACTTGTGTAGTCGATGGGCTTTTTGTCCAAGTTGTCTCTGGCATAAACATTTCCGCCAAACTCCACAAGTAGCTCTATTAAACTAGTGTTTTTCACTTTTGCTGCATGGTGAAGGGCAGTCTCATGAATCTTGGCAGCATTCACATTTGCACCTGTAGGAGAAACATAACTCAAAACTAAACTAATTTGGTGTATTTGTTTCTGAATGCAGTTTTGTCCTTAACCTGATTCATTGCCGTTATTACAGCTTTTACATTATTTCCTTATTGTTATAGATTATATGGCTGAAAAACTTAAGAGAAATGCCAAATTGCCATTTTACAAACAAATATAACAAGTTTTTCTCTCAAGATAATATATTGTTACCATTTGAATTTTGCATGGAAACTTTTATTTATACTCTCTGCTGAAGCATAACTCAGAGAAGACATAACTGCTAAACTAACACAACATGCCTCTACATGTTGGCTCACCAGCATTCAGAAGGACTTTGACACAGTCATGATGCTGCCTGGCACACGCCACGTGGAGAGGGGTTCCATAGTGACAATCATGTGCCTCCAGCAGAGCCCCCTGGTTAATCATGAGCTGAACACACTCTGAGTTACCTACAAATAAATAAATGGAAGAGCAGATGTTTAAATTAAACAAATAGAACTACAATATTATAGTTTGTTATCCAAATGTTTCTAGTTAAGAGACCACTAGAACAAGGGACCAGGACAGGACACACCTCCCATGCAGGCCTCATGAAGTGGTGAGAAAGTAAACAGAGGAGGATTGACTGTTGCGCCATACTCCAACAGAACTTTGACACACTCCAAGCTTCCAGCTGCACATGCGTCACACAGGGGGGTACTGCCATCAATGTTACGGGCATCCACCTAACGGCATAAACAGGCTTCGATTTCAATACTACATTTCACAACATGTGGTCTACTAACAACCTGGTCTCACATGTGCTCCTGCAGCCAACAGCAGTTTGACACACTGAGTCTGTGCTTGTATGCACGCCTCATGCAGAGGAGTGATGGAGTCCACTGACACTATGTTGACCGCTGCTCCGCCTTCAATCAACTTCTGCAACTGCACAGCTCTGCCCTGAGCTGCAGCCTCATGCACCGCTGTCCGGTCTGTCCAGAATCCAAGTCCATGGGCTGATAATTCACGAAAACAAACAGTCACGCGTTAATCAGTAGTGAATGGACAAAAAGTCTGATTATACTCAATGCTCGTGCATGCTGGCACGGGCAACAGTTTCAAGAGCAATCTATAACAATATGGTAATAACACAGTAAGTTGTAAGTAATTTCCTTCACTGGGATATGTTTGCAGCAAGATGCCATTCGGCAATCGGTATCCAATTAAATCTAAAATGATTTAGATTATTTTCAACAAAAGTAACAGTGAGCGCATCCATTGACGTACATTGTGAGTTAAGCTTCTTACCTATGTCACCATACAAAGACGGTCTGGTCCGAGTTAACTCCATTTAATGTTACTGTCTTAGCGCCCACTACCACCGGTCAACCGACCATGACATTTATGTGACAGTAAACATGTTTCTGTTGATAGTGAAGATGAACGCACTGCAGACAAGCTGCAGCGGCTGGGGCATGTCTGCTCTGTGCTCTGCTCCTTTCGGTGTCGGCTGTTCGCAAGGAATGCTGGGACTTGGAGGCTTCTCTGCATGTAGTACATGGATATGACGTAGAACGTTGTGGATTTATGTTATTCTGTGGTACATGTCTATTTAAGTTTGTTTGTATACTGAAAGACCTGTACCATTTTAATAAAAAAGAATACATTGTAGTAATGGCAATTAGGATATCACGACAAATGTGAAAAATTAAACAGTGGTTTAAAATTAAAAAACAAAACAATTGTCTGCCTGCAATGTCAATAGATATAAAAAATAAAAAGGGGTGAAAAGATAAATAACAAGTAATTAAATGAGAGACTAAAGTCAGACAGAAAATAATGGGTTTACAAATGTTAAACAAATGTTTAATGTTTTTTTTATATTTACATTTGAATGAATGAGGAATTAAATCAATGCAGACAGAAAATAATAAGATGTCACGAGGTGGGAAGGAGGACTCAAAATGCGAGAATGCCAAAATAAAGATTTAATAAAATAAAGTCCAAGGTTAACTAGAAACCGTTGCAATGGCTGAAGCCATTGCGATTGACTGCGAAACAGATCTAATGTGGAATTTAGCTGAAAAATCCTTGCTGAAAAAAACTGTTAAAATACTTTAAACATCTTTGAAACTCCTGAAGTATTTGAAGCTCCTGATATCCTTTAAACTGTTATCCTTTATACTGGTTTACATGTAAAAACCCCTATTAAGTTGCATTATACTGGTTTACATGGAAAAATCCCCATTAAGTTGCATTATACTGGTTTACATGTAAAAAACCCTATTAAGTTGCATTATACTGGTTTACATGTAAAAATCCCTATTAAGTTGCATTATACTGGTTTACATGTAAAAACCCCTATTAAGTTCCATTATACTGGTTTACATGTAAAAAACCCCTATTAAGTTGCATTATACTGGTTTACATGTAAAAACCCCTATTAAGTTGCATTATACTGGTTTACATGGAAAAATCCCCATTAAGTTGCATTATACTGGTTTACATGAAAAAAACCCTATTAAGTGGCATTATACTGGTTTACATGAAAAAAACCCTATTAAGTTGCATTATACTGGTTTACATGGAAAAAACCCTATTAAGTTGCATTATACTGGTTTACATGGAAAAAACCCTATTAAGTTGCATTATACTGGTTTACATGGAAAAACCCCTATTAAGTTGCATTATACTGGTTTACATGGAAAAATCCCCATTAAGTTGCATTATACTGGTTTACATGTAAAAATCCCTATTAAGTTGCATTATACTGGTTTACATGGACAAATCCCTATTAAGTTGCATTATACTGGTTTACATGGAAAAAACCCTATTAAGTTGCATTATACTGGTTTACATGTAAAAACCCCTATTAAGTTGCATTATACTGGTTTACATGGAAAAATCCCCATTAAGTTGCATTATACTGGTTTACATGAAAAAAAACCCTATTAAGTTGCATTATACTGGTTTACATGAAAAAACCCTATTAAGTTGCATTATACTGGTTTACATGGAAAAATCCCTATTAAGTTGCATTATACTGGTTTACATGGAAAAATCCCTATTAGGTTGCATGATTACACTGAAGTCCTTGAAACTGCTGAAGTCCTTGAAACTGCTGAAGTCCTTGAAACTGCTGAAGTCCTTGAAACTGTTGAAGTCCTTGAAACTCTTGAAATCTTGAAACTGCTGAAATCCTTGAAACTGTTGAATCCTTGAAACTGTTGAATCATTGAAACTGTAGAAATGTCTGAAAGAGCTGAAGTCCTATTAAAATGCATGGGCCTATTAAAATGCATTGCAGAATTCTCAATGCAGATTTTTGTCCGATTGCGGAAAAACCGGAAATCGCTGAAGTCCCAAAAGTAATAGCAATAATCTCCCAAACATGTGGAACGTTTTGATGTATAACTTGTGGAAATTGTTGAAAATGTGAAAGCTGTGAAACGTGTCAAAAAAAATGACGGAATAAAGAAATACAAAACCAATGGTTGACTGCGGAAGGTTCCGCAGTCAATCAAAAAACAAAACTCAAAATACGGAACCAGGAGCACAAAATCAGGAACAGAAGTAGACAATACAATGGACCAGCAACAAGAGGAGAGGAGCACAGGGTAATTATAGACAGAGACACAGGTGAAACACATTAGGGCAGGGTAGACAATCAAGACAGGGGAAACAGGACGTCAAAGTCAAACTTAAAACCAAAGCACAGAGAACAGATATCAAAATAAAGCTAAAGTCCAAAATAAAATCCACACCATGACAGTACCCCCCCTCCAAGGGACAGCTCCCAGATGTCCCAAGAACAAAAGCGAGGCAGGGAGGGCGGAGGGGGTCTGGAGGACAGGCCAGGGGCAGTTCAGAGGCCAGAACATGCAGGGGCAGGAGCTGAAGCCCAGTGGTGACCTTCCACACGGAACTGGCTCACCCCGGGCGGAGACAAATGCCCGGCGGTGACGACAGACGGGAACAAAACCACCCCAGACGGAACTCATGTCTGGCGGTGGCAACAGGCGAAGGGAAGGAGAGGTCATCAAAGGGTATCAGGCGGACACAGGTGGGGAAATCCAGGCAGACGGGAACAATCATGCCAGGGCTCCACTGGGTACCTCTCTCGTGGGACAGGGGGAGGAAACGGGACCACCCCGGACGGAGATCAATGCCCGGCGGTGGTGCATGGACAAAAAACCACCCCAGACGGAATTCTTGCCTGGCGGTGGCTCGAGGTAGCAGGTAGAGGCAGGCAGTGGAGATTGCAGAGAAAAAAAAAACAAATAGACACCTGGTGGCAAACTGGGAGCAGGTGTGGGTGGAAAAAATAAAGCATTCCGCAGAGTCCAAATGTGGCTGGTCCATTCTGTCACGAGGTGGGAAGGAGGAGGACTCAAAATGCGAGAATGCCAAAATAAAGATTTAATAAAATAGAAGTCCAAGGTAAAAACAAAACTCAAAATCCAAAATACGGAACCAGGAGCACAAAATCAGGAACAGGACGGAACAGAAGTAGACAATACAATGGACCAGCAACAAGAGGAGAGGAGCACAGGGTAATTATAGACAGAGACACAGGTGAAACACATTAGGGCAGGGTAGACAATCAAGACAGGGGAAACAGGACGTCAAAGTCAAACTTAAAACCAAAGCACAGAGAACAGATATCAAAATAAAGCTAAAGTCCAAAATAAAATCCACACCATGACATAAGATAAGACAATATATTCTTTATTTATCTCACAGAGGAGAAATAATCTTGACATTTGTCGTGACATAGTGAGATTATCAAAAATATATATTATATTTTCATTTAACCATGGATCTTTTCTCCAAATAGCTCCATGTTATATCCTCAACAATGTTGGAGAACACTTAGAGAACATGACAGTGGCTCAGTAGGTCGAGCATTAATATTAAAATGGCTCTAAAATGGTTTTACGTGCGTTGATACATTCCGCACGCACGTTTCACAGTCACAGATGTGTGAATGGTTGGTCGTGGTCGGAGGGCACATACTGGTTGGCTCGCTTCTGTCAGTGTGTCCCAGGGCCCTGTGGCTACAGTAGTAGTTTATCACCACCGTGTATGGAGGGAATGAATAATGAAGCATCTCTGAGTGTCCAAAAAAGCGCAACATAAACCAGTGCATTGATATTATTATTAATGTAATGTACATATAATGTAAAACAAATGGGGGTTTACTCTAAATTAAATCATCAGCATACTGTTTAAAATCAGACAGCCCACAATGCACTAACTATAGTACAAAAAGCGGTATTTTAGTGTTGAAAATTGGCTGTAAATTATGAGGAATATGCTATGTGTATGTGCAGCTAAGCTTACAACCCTAACCCTATGTACAACATTTCTACAAAGCATATACATATTAACATATTAACACAGCACCAAGATAGTCCTGAAGGATGAGCCGTTGTGAAATAGAACCATATTGAGCAAATGCACAACAGTGATGTATAGGTGAACCATATGCATATACACACACACTGAAGTAGAGGTGCACATTTAGGTAGCGCTCAAAACAAAAACAGGTCATAAAAAAGGTCTCAGGTCAAAATCTTTGAAGAAGATGACAAAGTCTGGGATCGCGTCTTTAATTCAGACAGAAGACATGTTTTATTGTCAATGGTAGAGACAGCACGAACAAGGGATGTTACGACAGCAAGTTGCAATATACTCAGGAGAAACCGCGTCGGAAAATTCAATTTAAATACAAAAGTGACAGAAGCGACAAGAAGCATCCAGGCCCAGCTCTTCCAGCCTGCTGGAATCTCCGCTCCCAGACACAGCATGCCGGTCTCTCACGCCGAGAAAAAGAAACAAAGGAAACTCCCTCAAAACAATCCAGAGAATGGCGCACACTGAGCCGCACATCCTCCATCAAATCTGTCAGGGATAAACCAGACAGAGACGGATCGTGGTGTGCCAAACTCTGGAAGTTTATTTAAGTTTCTCTCAAGTTCCAGTGGTTTCAATTGTTTCTTTCTCTAAGAACGGAATAAAGGCGGTACACAGTTTATATAGTCATTGTTACGTCACACATCGAAAGACATACGTGTCAAATCCAGAGACAGTCACGAGTATATCATAGTCAAAACATGGATGCATCGGAGTCCTTGTATAGTCTTGCACGTAGGCCAAATCGCTTTCTAATCCTAACATCTTCATTGAAACCTTTTGGACTCAATGGCTCTCTTTTTTTTTTTTTTTTTTTTTCATACTTTATTGTGTCATCTTCATTAGTTCACACTGTTTTCTTAATACATACAGCTTAACCAGACACATTTTAATGTCTTTTTTTTTTTTTTTTTTTTTTTTACCCCACTATGCTCC